TCAACCAGCCAAAAGTGCTAATTTATTGGAGGAGGGGAAGTGGGGAAGGAGAAGGTGAAGAGGGAGAAGAGATCGTTCAGATTTTGAGCCTTTCGACTTATAACTTCTGACTCATACTGATGGGTCATACATGGGGAATAAGTAAGATGGACCGTTGAAGAAAAACAATCCTCTTTATAGTCCCAAGGGCTTTTTTTAAGCTTGAATTTGAAGATTTTGCAAAGTTAACACTTTATTGTCATTGTCATAGACACGAATAGTAAGATATTAGTGATTGTTTCAATGACCTAACCTTGTTCTTCAATAATTCAACGACTTCAATCTTCAATGACTTCCTTGATCAAGTCTCTTTTCGATTCAAAACCCTATCTTCTCCAATTAGAGCTACTTTACTAGTTCAACTATATCGTGATCGATTGTTGTTAGTGTGCATGGAATCGGAATTTGTTTGTGAAGATTGCGAGACTCTTTTCTCTTTCCCTCCATTTCACACAGCTTGATCAGTCGTCGGGAGAGCGATTCCGAATACGGCACATCGCATAGAAAAGGGGAAAAGAGAGGAACAGATAACGGGGAAGAGAAAAGGAAAGAGAACAACAGAGGGGAAAGATTCTCCTTCGATATTGCCCATCTTCTTCTTCGGCACATTGCCACACGCTGATTCATCACTCTCTTTCTATTTCTCTTCCACACAATCTTTCTTCTGAAATTGAGACGAGGCTGTACGGTTACTCGCGATTGCACAAAACTTATTACGCAACTTTTTCTTCGATTTTATTTTAGACGGCTAAAGCTATGATAGTACCTTATAGAGCTTAAGTACTTCTACCGTAATTTCAGTCCCTGTTTCCAGAAACCAATTCCAGGAACCTTGTGCTATCGTACTTCCCTTATACTATTTTGTAATACCAGAGTTCTTTATCGATACGAATTAGGGCTGAATAGAATGTATAAGCACTTGAAATTCGAGCTCAAAAGATCTCAAGCAAAGTCATCTCAAGTCGCACAAGGCTAACTGTCTGGCACAAGCCTTACCTAACTACCCGATTTGTTACTGTCATAACTATTTAGTTGAATTTCTCAACCACTTCAATCAGCACACCAATTCTTTGACTAAAATAGGTATCTTCTTGACTTAAGCTTTGCCAAAAGTGTTTTGTGGGGAAAGGGAAACACATCGAATGCAATCTCCATATTCGATCAACGCCGGTGTGAGATCGTGTGAATCATTCGGCGAAAATTGCTCGTGTCGGCTTTCCTCGGAAGACATCGATACTTGTATACAGAAATTTCGCTAGTTCTTTCCAAATCAAAAGGCTTTTTTGCGGGCTTTGTTGTGCTCAAACTAGAGGATCATACAGTACTTTTTGTCTGTGTTTCATTTAGATTAGGCTTGCAAACGTGTATCAATGAAAATTCTCCATTCTTGTATTTTTTGGTGATCTGGAGACTCGGGTTTTCGCCTTTATCTCTGATTTGAAAACCTGAAGATCAATGTCATTGTGCTTAAAAACATATCCTCAAATCCAAGAATTCTTGTAAACGAATACTTTTCTCCATCAAAGAGTAACATTCGTATCAGAAATTCGATGCTTTCGCCTCATGGATTGGGTCTTTTTTTGGGAGAATAGGAAAAGGGGAATGACCGATTCATATGTGGAGAGATGTTTACCGGATGAGTCATTCTTTCCCCCTCTCGGATCACCTGCAAGTGGAAGAGAGAAACGACATGGCCACAATTTGCATCTCATCGATGCCCACGAATATTTCTGACTCATTTTTTCTCCAGAAGATTCCCATATCTTTCTCAACAAAGTGCTAAGCCGCTTTACCGATCGAGTACCATAGATAATCGATTCTTCATTGCTTGGCTGAGTTCTTGTTCTTTCTGAAAACTAAAATTGATTGATATTCAAAATTGATAATCATCTATTTTCTTTTCATGAAGGTTTTCGTAAACACAGAAAACTGGAAAACATTAAAGCTTTTGCCCTTTTTACCATGATACGAAGAGTTGTTATTCGGCCGCTTCCCAAAAAGGCCAAGAATTCATTTTGTATTTTTTGTGCTCTTGCCGAAGAAATGACTCGAAAAAATCGAATTTAATATGCTAGAAATCTTTTTTTTTTGTTTTCATTTTTGGTATGACTCGGTTGTATTCGAAATATCAAGAAATTCGACTTAACTCAACAAGAAATTGAAGCTGAACACTCCCTTAACACTATGAATCATCAGCTAAGCTTTGGTTTATTCTGATTCTAAAACTAGTACCTGAATACTGTTGAACAACTCAAGTTTTAGCGTATTTATGTCATCTTTAAGATGAATACAATCGATTGTACCAAAGATTTTCAATGTCAATGACTTGTAAATCAATTTAGGATCAAAGTAAACTCGCACAGCCAAGAGATCCCCGCGTAAGCCTTCTTCAGAAACATAAACCAACGATGTCTTGGCACATTTTTGGCTTATTGGGCTTCGTTGTGTGGATAGCCCAAGCACAACAACCGCTGCCGCAACAAGGGCAAAACATTCAACCCGATCAAGGCTTGGGCACGAATCTCATCACTGGGCAAGGACTCACACCATATTATGGAGGTAAGTAAAAATGATTGGGATCATGATAAGAGCTATTGCTTAGTGAACTTGGTACCATTTGGACCCGATGCCGGGGATATGCGAGTGAATGACGAAATGTTGACAGGAGGACAGACTATTGATCTCCATTTATTCTTTCCTTTCTACGGTGGACTTTACAATTACACATCAGTGAGTTTTCTCGAGATTTCAGAAGTAAATGTGGGTTGCTTATCTATTAAGTTTTTAAGCTTTTTGTTTAATCTGCTAATGTTGGCATGTACGTTGTTGGCATGGCTAAACTTTAAACAGGCTTCGTGTAAACGTTCAATGCCTGGTGCGTTGAATTTCTTGGCTATGCTATGTTCTAACTGTAAACAAACATCCTTAACGACTTACAATATGAACTAACTACTAACATCATCATCTACATTTATTCTGTAGTAAATTTTCCCCAACGCTGCAAAGAATCCACTTTTTTTGCAGTGGTTTATTTATTTGACCAGATGCCGGCTGTTTACTGGGTTATATTAAAACAGTTATAACACAAGCCTTTTCTAGGTAGACTCAATTCGATTAACCGATATTCCCAAACCCAACTCAAGTTCAACCAGCCAAACCTTTCCACTCGTCTTTTATCCTTTCTTTGATTGATTCTCGTGCCACGTGTTTGCCAATAGTTCCCACCAATCACTTGTGCATTTGTTCCGAATCTCGGAAAAGAAAGCCGTTCCCTTTGGATGGGGTAAAAAGGGGGAAAAGGCCGTAATCTGCATACAAATAAGGCGTCAAGCGACATTCAACCTTTCCCCAATTTTCAACAAACATTGATCAACAACCCCATGTTCAAAGCATTCTTTGAAAGAATTAGGGAGAAATGTGTTAGATCTGAAATGAGCTATAAAATTGATTAAGATTATTATAAGAAATTGTGGATATTGTGAAATTTCAGATTTCTGGCAATGGCTACATCAGCTTTGCGACAGTTCTCGATCAAGGTACTTCTTTGCTATGAAATTTGAGAAATCTAAACGTGATAATATTTACAGTAATCTGATAGTTAATACAAATTATACAATAAATATGGAGATATTTTGAAGTATAATTATTTATTATATGAAGAAAGCTTAAAAGTTCCAAACTTGCACTTGGCACTCAACTATAATACCCTGCACTTTTTAAACACACCTAAAACGGTGATTTTCCGAGTAAATATAAATTGTTGAGCTTTTAAGCTTTATGTAGAATAGTCATGATAATCTGACATCGAAATTTGAGGTCCGGTGATCAACGTGGGTCCACTTGACACGAATTGGCCGACGCATCAAGATCCAGCAATGATTGCACCATATCTATGCAAACAACAAGTGAGTTTAACTTTAACTTTTAAACATCTATTGTACTTGATATAATGATTATTGTACCCTTAATTATTCCCTCAGATTCCCCGGGATCATGGCCCTGGCTTGAAAACTGGCGTTTTCTATCGTCTACTTCTTCGACAATCGCTTTTCGGTCGACAATCGGACAGCAATATGAATATGGGCGGAAGCATGCCATCGTCGTTTTTTACGCAGAATATGAGACAAGTAATAGATTCAAATTTTTCAAAAAAAATCAAATATATTCAATGTAGGCATGCCCGAATACTCCGAATAATTATGCACGGTGTAATCAAGAGAGTGATTACCAGCTGAACGAGTGGATGAACTGGTTGCAAGGTTAAATTTTAGCTTTTATAAAATTTATTTATAGTTTCAAGTACAGTAAGTTCAAGTTTTCAAATTCTTCTAATCATTTAGAACTTTTTTAAAAGACGAATTTTAGAGGGAATCGCGGGGGCTCAGATGTTCCGAGCTGATGCGGCTCTCGTGGTTACGTGGTGGGTGTAAAATTGCTTGAATCAAAAGCTAAACCACAGATAAACTCAGTGTTAGCCTTATACAAACATTTAGCTGTAGTGCATTAGCCGACTTTAAAAGTTAAGGGTAAAGTTATATATAGTTCTACTGTCTCGTGCTCAGGTTCAACACCGCTTCTGCGATTTCCGGGAGATCCGATGTGGACGCCGGTCAACTGGCCACATATCAACTCATTTGGCTTACTGATAGCGTTTGTTTCATTCTAAAATATTATTTAAATAGATTATGACAAAATCAACAAAGCAAAATCAATCAATTCTTAAATGCAAATATTTTTGTAGAACGCTCGACTTTCCTACGTGATTTTCAACTACGATCGGCTTGGCTTCGATGCGGCCGATTTTCGCGGGAATTCTCGATCAGGGCGTTGTCAGGTGAGACAAATTTACAAGGATTTTCAATGATTGCTTTCAGGGATGCTTGAAATTAAAAATCCAGTTGGTTTCTTTTCAAAAAAAATTAAAATTTCAGGCTCTCTTCAACGGTGGAAATCACACAGGAATGGTGCCCGTCGATCCAACGCAAATGTACAAGAACTCCCCAAAAGTGTTGGCCTCTCAATCGGGAGTCCCACACATGGTTCGAGGACGGTAAGCAGAGTTTGAAAGCTCAACAAATCACCAATGAAATTGTACATTAAAATGAGTTAAAAAGGATTAACAAGCAGAATTTTTGTCTGTTTATGGTTAAAAGTTCAGAATTTGCACAGCAACCAGCTTTTTATAGTACCTTTGACTCTGGAAAATCACCAAACACCAAGAAAACTTCAGGTACATGTTCCGTGTGGATGACGTCGTCCGACCGGGTGGATGCTCGAACAAAACTGGAGGCACATGTAAGTGAATCAATCTTGTACTTTGGCGCTGATACAAGCGCGCACTTTCTAGCAAACTTGGTCGTTCATTTGATTATTCATTTAAAAGCACCAAAAGCCTTGCGTTTGCTAAAGCAATTTTTCTTTTAGTCCCAATGATGATCTACCCAAACATCGTGAACATGTTGGGTGAAACGACAGTCGATGTGAATGCAATGTGCTTAGATCGAGCGAAATCCTATATTCTCATGATTGAGCAGAGACAGGTTTTTAATACATACATTTATTCAAAAATTATCGTACAAACAATACACAAGCTTAAGCCCTAAATGTAGGGAAAACTCATATATATCTAGCCATAGCTCATATAAAAGAACCAATAATCTAGCCGGCGGGATTGAACCCTTGATCTCTCGACTAAGATATAGAGCTCTTAGCTAGTCGGTCATGGCAAAAGATCTTTTTAAGAACAAAAAAACTTCAGGTAGCCACTTGTCTAGTGTTGAATCCGTCAATCGCTCGTTGCTCGCTTCCAAAAATTTTCGATTGGGGCACACGAACGGTTTATTTCCAACCGAGAGGCGGTGGTGGTGATGATGAGAAAGCTTTCGTTGGATATATCTATTTTGGTGGGTTTTTTTGAGTAATTTCTGGATGAATCTAGGATTTCAGTGCCACCTACACTTGATCCTCAACGGCTTGAGATTGGCAGCATTTATGATTGGTTCAAGAATCCGTTGCCGACGATCGTCATGCCAATTTCTTGGTACGCCAATTAGCATTTCTTTTTTGAAAATACTAATTTTTAGGTATCCACGAAATTTCACCAATCCTGACCTTAACAATCGCATGGACACGGGTGGAGCGAGGATCAGGTAAACGATGAATCCATGCTAAAACTCGGCCTGTTTTCTAGTGACGATTCGATGTACTCAGTTCAGTTGGGACTTTATGTGATTGGCTACAAGGAGTTCAAAGATGACAATGTTTGTGAAAATCTTTGAATCTTTAAATTGAAAGCATTTGTTCAGATCAAAAAATTCCGCCCTGAGCATCGAATCATTGCTCGTTTGGGATCGTACGCGAACAAAAATCAATACGAATACCGGTGGAGACCGCAAGAAGAAAGGATCAATTTGAATCAAGTTAAATAAAAATTGAAAATTGAAAAGGAGTTCTTGTTCCAGGTTGAGCAATGGTACATGACGGATTGGGAGCGGATGAACGAGTTGTACACGTATCGCTTTGGATACCTCAAGCTCGCTCCGATCATCAATCTTGACCAACAACGGCCCACTCAATTGCCGGCTGGGTGGGAATGGGTTTTGATAGCTTATTCTTCTTTCCTTTTTTCTTTCTTCTTTTCTTCTTAAGGTACCGGATAGCTCAGTGGTTAGAGCAATTGCCCGGAAAGCAAAAAAAGCTCAATCTCCTCTCCGGAAATCTGTTTTTTCTTGCCAATCCCTTCACTTCTTTATTACAAATTCTTTCAGACTCGTCTCTCATCCAATTTCGCTGCATTGGATGTGGACAACGAACAATCCCGAATATCAGACGACAACCTATAGTCAACAAGAAGAGCAGAGTCGAGTGGATTTCGTGAAGAAGAAGGCCATGCAAATGTGTCATGATTGGTTTGTTTTTGTGAAAAGCTAAAAGAAATGAATCAATAACATAACAAAGGCCTTTGTTTACCTAAATTCTCACAAGGGAAAGGCAACAGTAGGATGTGGCCAAATGAGATACGCCATAGACCATTCGACGGTGAATTTCATGCGCTGATTCCGAATTTCGCTTTTGCAAAATGGCTTTCTATAAAAAGTTATACGTGTTTTAAGTTTTAAGCCGAATAGAACAATTTTGCTAAAAAGAAATCGAACTCGAGCAAAAAAACGCAGAGCTCGTTTTGTATGCAAGCGTTTTATTCGGAATCAGCGTGAAATTCTACGTTGAATGGTCTATGGCTTTGAACATATCCTACTGTTCCCTTTCCTTTGTCAGGTACAACGAGGACGGAGCTCAATCGAATTTCATCCGGGACACCGAAACGAATGCCTCTTGTCCGTGTGTTGAGCGACAAGCGATGGCCGATTTGGGCCGATTTATGCCACATCCACGATGCTCTCAAGTATTGCACAAGATTTTAAAAAGTTTAGCGCAAAAATTCTAGACTTTCCGTGATATCACTTGCACTCAATCGATCGGAGCCCGGAATTGCTACATGTCGGCGCAAAATGTTTACGGATCGTATGCGGGATCGGGCAGAACGGACACCTCACACACGACAAGGTTTGTTTGGAGTGCGGAGACGAAATTTCTCGGATCAAGAACAGATTCTAAGGGATAAAAGTCCAATAAAGTTTTGAGAAGAAATCGAAATTCTTGGAACAAGAATGAGAATTTCTAAAGACTCACGTAAAATCCAGTGAAGAATCTTCATATTTCCAAACTTCTGCTAGCAAAGAGCTTTCAGTCGTGTGCCCACTCACTATGGACAAGTGTGCTGTTACGATAAAGAGGGTTTTCTCATGCAGACCAGTTATCAGCCTGTGATAAAGGTGAGAAAAACTCGGGTTTTTCTTTAAACTTGAGAATCTTAGGTGACACCAGAAGTACCGTACAATCCCGGGTTCCCGCTGAGAGCCTACGAGTTCGGCACATCACCGTATATGGGGCAATGGGAGGTAAAAAGCTAGTAAAGTTTTGATTTCTATATGACTGTAGGTACCGGGTTTATCAGCTTTCCACAACGATTATATGCCGTATTTCTTGTGTTGCAAGTACTCCGATTTCCGATGTCAAATGTTCTATTGGAGGCGACCGTCTTCTGGGTGTCAAGAGTATCAACCGCCCGCTTACGGTTTGTTCTTGAAATTTGATCCACTACATAGTACACTAATCACATAGTACACTAATCACATAGTACACTACATAGTACACTGATTAATCTACAGACTGACAGTAATAAAGTAAAGTAAGGAAAGGTAAAAAGAAAACTCCGGAGAGGGGATTGAACCCTCCCTTGACCTTTTCGCTTTCTGGGCAATTGCTCTAACCACTGGAGTATCCGACCTTAAATTTCCGAGAGAAAGAAGGAAAGACAAGGGGGAAGAAGAAGACTATAGTTACATTACTGGTACAAGCAAGATCTTTGTACAGGTGAAGCAATGGGTGCCGGAATATTCAATACGATTGACAATGACAAGTTCATCTTCAACGAGCCGGGCGTGTACACTCTTCTCTACATCCCAAAGACGCTCACGACTCCAGAAGTCCGAATTCAAGTTCGCCTCGAGCGATATCCAAACAGAAAAGTCGATTTCAGTAAGTTTTGAGAGCTAAATAGCAAAACTGAGTTTTCTAAAGGTTATCTCGGACGATGGATGCCACAGAAAGACTTGGTCCAACCCTCAAACGCCACTGTGATCACCGGAATTGCGATTGAAGCAACGGGAACTGATCGGTAAGCAGTTATCATAAAATTGGTTGATTACAATATTGATATTAAGCATAAGCTGTTTTGATGAATAGATTTTTAGATACTTTAAAACCATCATCAATCTTTTAGAGTGCACGTGTTGGCTAGGAAAGACACTCGGCGTTTCCGATACCGAACCAGTGTCATCGTCGGCAATATTCTTCGATACTTTGACACAATGCACATTCAACGATTCACTGGTAATTCACAGAACAGGGAAAGTTAGAAGCTTTCATTTTTTAGGCGTTCTCGTTTATGTGAATAGCGTCGAAAGAGGACAAGCCGAGATCTATGTGGTACTTGAAGAGGCACAAATTGGAGTGAGGATTCGGTGAGTTTTGGAGCATTTTTATAGAACAAGGTTTTTTTTAGAGAATCTTTCAATCGGGATATCGATCGGCTCATGAATTATCAAGAGAGTTTTGGAATGCTCAACGTTGCCCTCTCGGTACCGCCGCAATATGGAGTGGTGAGTGAAAATGGAAATTATCTAAAAACTCCAGTAGACATTACTGTAGCTTGAAGATAAGTTGATATATTGATTCTCTAAAATTTATGTTTCAGCGTCCTGATGGAGACAAGGCACGAGAGAACGAGATCCGACAACGGTACAACTTACCGAAGGTAAGTGATATCGTCTGGGAAATTTAGGCGAATCGATTCAATCTTGGAATTTCCATGACAACATTGTCCAAATACGCTTAGCGAACTTTAAATTTCGATACTTTTTTAGGTGTCTGGTTTGATGCGGCCATTCCCCGAACAAACGATGAGCAGTCAATGGCAAAGGGATCTTCAGATGCAAGACGTCAACTCGGAATCGTATCGACAGCAAATCGTCCAGAATTGTGAGTGCATTTATTAAACTCAATGCAGATATTTCTCAAATTACCAACTTATTGAATTGCTTAAATTTCAGACAAAATCCATGGGACGGGTGAGAGTGGATCGGATCAAAATCTGAATACCCAATACAACAGCGACATTCCAACGGATAACATGTTTACCGCGAGTAAACAAGAGGACAGCAAATTTGATGTGAGAAAAGTTGAATGTAAAAAATTAGCATTTTTAAGTAAACTTGAATATTATTGAATAGAAATTGTCCAAAGAAAATACAAATTTTCCAGGTTTTTCCCGAGTCGGCAATGCGCAGTGGGCCCATTTACAAAGCGGCTGAAGAATATGAAATGTATTTTGTTTTATTTTAATAATATCTTATAATAATATACTGTTAGACTAATTTTATATAGATATTTTTCTAATGTTTTTTTTGTTTCTAGTGGAAACAATCGCTTCTACCCAATCACCGGCTCGGTCCTTATCCAAATTCTCAACCATTGCCGTGACATGGAGCAAAATCCCAATTGTGAGTTTGAATTTTCATTTTTCATTGGGTAAACTAACTTCTAAATTCTCTAGACAATTTGCAACCCCAAGCCTCAAATGTAATGGTTGACTACGGGATCTCAACCTGTCCAAATAAGCCCTCGGAAGTGATCGCTGTAAGTTGAAGTGAAATTTTGCAACGAACTGTAGTATTATGCAGTTGCTTACCGTAATAGTCATCGATAATGGATAGCAGGACTTGCACGTAGTGTTTCTTTTAGGAATGCGGTGACAATTGGGCTTGCCTCTACAACTATGCCCTTTTGAATTCGAAAGTGATCGGTGAGGAGAGTTATAAATCCTGGAACTCGCATATCAATCTCCGAAATGACGCCGTTCGACAATGTGAGTGCAAGAAAAAAAGCCTTTATTGATAAATTTGGAGACAAGTAGAAGCTGAATACAAAATATTCTGTAAACCCTATGCTTTTTAGATAACTCTTGTGGACCGATCAACATCGAGTATCCGGAATATTTGATGAAAGTCGGCTCAATGGATAGCGCCTATTTGGATGGAGATGTCGCTCAATTCGAATGTTTCCAATCGCATTGGACAAAAGGAACACACGAGTACAAATGTGAGTGACATAGCCAGGGTGGCAAACTATTTATCAAAACTAATTTGCTTTGTATTACGAATTACTAGTGTGCTTTTCCTTGAATTCACTAGATGTGGCTAGACCTGTGCACTTTCGCTTGAATCAATAACAAAACCAGGTTTATTCAATGCACGTGGAGCAAAGCGTGTGAAAATATTTCAACGAAACTCCAAGAAACAATGTGTTGATCCAGAGACAAAAGGAATCACTTGGATGAAAATTGTGGAAGTATCTCGAACAAAAGAAAACAACTTTCCCAAGACCAAATAAGAGAAAATTCTGACTAAATTGGAAAAAGGCGTTCTTTTATACGCGCGTGAGCGCGACCTTGTTTAGGTATTTCTGATACGGTATTTCTGATACGGTATTTCTGGTGTCTTATTAGACTGCGGCAGCTTTTCGGTCATACTATTGGCGTTTAGGCGGCATGGTAGCCAATCGAGAAGCGTATCGTGACAGCCGAGTACGAGAACAAGAACCACTCAATTATCAATTTGGATATTATCGATTTGAATGGAATAAGGTAGGATTCCTAATTAAGAGTGATCTCAACCCCATTTCAGGGTGATCAACCATGGTGTCGATCTCGAGAAAAGGAGAATTTCTTCATTTGGTTGGCTGCAATTCTCGGTTCGCAGCTTTTTATTTTTTTACTATATTCTGTACAAAATGATGATTTTGTGCGTGCCTTTAACTGAATACCGTAAATATTCTAATAGAACGGCCTCCTCAAAGAGCGTCGCCTAGTCTAAGTTTACTCTCAAACAAACGCTCATATCTCAGCACCAGTACGTTTATTTCTGCGCGCTTAGGTATCAAATTAAAGTAGAGAGAATGGGTGATTTTTTGAGATATAATACATATTTTTAGCATTAACCAGCGCTTAGAAAAAATGATTGAAAAATGACAAAAAAAAGTCGATTTTTCATAATTTTTCAATCATTTTCTTCTAAGCGCTGGTTAATGTAATGTCTTTTAGAATTTAGTATATATTTATTCCATATTTAGGCACTGTCGCCATCATCATTGTCCTCATTTTGATCTATCTTTGCTGCTGGTGCATGAAACAGAAGAAACGCGAAGAAAAGGAAAGAGAAGCGGCCGCAAATGGAATCACCCCGTCGAGGACGCCAAGTTTAAAGAAACATCCATACGTGAGTCAAAAAAAAAAATTTCTTTTTGACCCATCAGTCTCTACGAATTTCAAGCTAACTTTTATCTTTCTTTGCAATTGCAAAAAAAAGATTTTACACTCATTTCCTATGAAGTACAAAAGCTTATTAATAAATGAGATTCAGTCGATGGAAGCGGAACCACTTCATCCAAAGATTCGACCGATTGATATCAGCGACGAGTTGAGAGCGCCACTGACACCACATGGAGGCACACCGACCAAAGTGCCGCCAAGGTAAGAAAAGGATATTGGAGAAGGGAAAGAAGCTCTTCAGAACGCAATCAAATCAATCAAATCACTCAAATCCCTCGACCGTTTCCACTCCTGAGTCCGCGAGAAATGGGCACGCCTTGAAAGGCTTTAAAACGAGTGTATGATATAGAAAAGACGGAACGGAGTACTGTAAAGCGTTGATATCATTTCTCACTACAGTATCCCTCTATAAAGAATATTCAGTCTTGCTCAATCGTTTTAAAATTGACCAACTAACAAACTTGGAAGCCTTGAAACTGTAGTACTGTAATGAGTAATTATACTGGGGTTTCACAGTACTTTTGTGGCAAAGCATGCCCGTACTTTGTACTCACCTAAGCGCGCACTCTCTGACACACTTAAGCAATACTTTTTTTTTCAGGAGAGTGAGTTAGAGAGAGCGTTTTACCGAGCACAAAGTGCAAGCCAGTTTTGTCATGCTTGGCATTAGATTAGAGTAGAAATCGTTGCTAAAAAATGGCTCTGAAGCTTTAAGTGTAAATATTTTTCAAACAAGAGTCCAAATTTTTAGGTTTGATTCGTACCAATCTCCACCCAATGCCTCAACACCGGAATCGCTTCGAAACGGGAATTCGAAGGGAGCCGTTCATGGGTTCAACACTAGTGTCTAATCTCTAAAATATCAGGATCAACCCGTTTTTACATTTCAACTCAGACACTTTCATTTATCCAGGTGATACGATAAGAGAAAATGTTTCTCATTTATTTTTCTTCGTTCTCTACAGCTATAGTTTTCGATAAATAACCGTAACTATTCTACTAGGAGGGTGCCCTATTACCAGATTTGTTAGATTAGATCTATGAACCAGAGTCTAATCCTCAGAAACAGACTGTTTGCATGATTTCTGGTACACGATTTGGTACCAGACACAGTGATATTGTGTTTTCAATGCAAATATCTCTGGTATTGCCTCCCAGGGTTGGTCTAAGGGTAATCTTCGGGCCAGCCAAGCCAGAACCTTGGTAGAGCCTAAAACAAGCCAAAAATCTGGCACTTATTAATATCAGAGTTTTGAACTGGTATTGCTAACCTTTATTGAGAGGTATTCTTTAAAAGAAAGATCATCTAAGTTCTAGTTAAAAATAGAAACAATCCTCTAGAATAGTTACGGTATATCAAAAGTTAAACGAACCCTAATCAGCAGGTCTTATCCCAGTAATTTCTCTCCATTCAAGAATTCTCAGTTTCCACTATAATTCCTATTCAATTTCCACTCAGCTTTATTCCCCCCCGAGAGACTCAATGATGAATTTTTCTTTATTTTTGCAACAATAAAACCCCAAACCCTATTGCTGCCATTTTTCTCTCGACTCATTGATGTTTATTTCTGAAAGGATTCTCAATTTTTCACTTATCATTTTGTGCAAAACTATGCCTAGAAACACCCAATATCAAAAATAGCCATAAATTTATGGGGATTTATCCATTTTAGTGGGGGTTGCTTTGTGATATTTCATTTTGATGGTCATCACCCCTTTTTGTTCTGCTTCGTTGCTTTGTACAGTTTTTGATATTGTTTTTATTTTTATTTTTAATAAAAGATATCATTTATGAACAATTACCAAAAAAAAATAGAACCTGGACAATTCCCCCCGTCATCGCTATCATTTTCTCCTTTTAAAATCTCTTCTTCAATCTCCTTTTCCTATCACCAATTCTCCAAAGCTGCTGAATGTTTAAACTTTTGGCTTTTGAAGATTTTAAATATCTCATTTCAATCTTTGTATTCAAATATTAGCTTACCCAAGTGTGCACAACAAAAAGCGATTCCACACTTGATTCTGGTTTTTGTTCTGATTCTGGATTGAATTTGGGAATTTCTTGCTCTGGATAGCGAAAAAAGTCGACTTTTTGAGAATGACGAACAAAAAATGGAAACTGCGGAAAAATCCTTAAGCAAATGAGAATCAAAGGTGAGAAACACCAATAGAAAGAGTTACAGTATGCTTTTAAAGAAAATTTGCATTCGAAATTGGCATAAATTTACACATATATTTTAAATTTATATATTTACATATATAAATTTACATACATGTTCACAAGTTGATTAGCTGATTCTAGAAATCGGTTTTATTTTTCAATGCCACTAAAAGCGGGGCGGTCGATCGATGATGGGAAGAAAGTGATCAAGGAAAACGATGTGGAGAACTCATCCAATGATCCCAAGAATTGCTCTCTTTGCAAAAAGGTTTCAATTATTTACCTTAATTCAAGTCAAATCCATTTAGTCTTGTACACAAAAAGTCGTTTTGAGGGATTGTTTTCATCTCGTTTGCATTCCCGATCTGCTACAGCACTATCAAGTAAGTCTTAAGTCTTGTAGATTTCCGATGTTTAGTAAATTAGTTGAATAATTGATGCACTAGATACCGAAAGTTTACGGTAACTGTGAGGCTTGGCTACTGTATACTTTGTTGTTTGTCGTAAACTCTCGGAATCTGACGGACCGACTGCTTCCAGCAGACTAGAGACCAAAAGTTTACCAAATGTTAAATAAAGTTCAAGTTATCGGTCAGTTGAGACGCGCCCCACCATTGGCCATTGGCAATCCAACATTGAGCTAAAATTTCTTGGTGTTGGGCTGTTTAATTTAAATATCCTTTGGTATCATTAGATGCGCCAAGTCTTTCTCTGTCGATTGGTCCAAAAACTATTTAAATTGAACAGCCCAACACTAAGAAATTTGAGCTCAAAGTTGGATTGCTAATGGTAGAAGGGGCGGGGCGCGTATTAAATTTCCCACAATCAAAAGTTCATCTTTAGCAAGGGATCACCGCGAAAAAGTTGTTGCTCGAGTGTCCGGTGAGTGATTGTAAAAAGGAAATCCACGAGAACGATGTCGAGATCGTGCTTGATCCGTTTGAGGTAAATTATGGATTTGGAAAGTTGATAATATTTCTTTTTAGAGATCACTCGATTCGTTGATGTCATTGAGTGATCGAATCGATCTTCTCCATCAACATCAACAACAGCAAATCATTGAAGCGTTCGGTGGAGTCGAAATGACAAAAGCTTGCCCGATTTGCTTGGTAGGTGACTTTCAAAGTAATTTCTTAGACCCATACAGTGATCTCTCACCAGTTTGAAGTATCATGAAAACTTTTGAAAATCACATATTTTTCTTTCAGAACGTTTACGGTGAACGAGTTGGTTGTCATCTGGTGGAATGTGCGAATAAGCGCTGTCAAACGAGATTTTGCTGGGATTGTGGAGAGATCACCGACTCGCTTCAGCATTTCATTTGTGAGTTTAAAAGTTTAGCTTTGAAAATTTACGTAAACTTTTAATACCTGGTGCACCGAATTCTGCAAGACTTCAAGATTTCATTGCACCAGACACTGAACGTTTACAGATAACTGCCAGAGTTTGTCTGAAAGTTAGTTAAATTTCTCTAGTATTCCTTGAAGTTCTGTAAGATTTCAATGGAAAGAGATACAGTACTTTGCGGATAAGGGGGGGTTTAGAGGATACGGTAGAGAGTGACGTAGTCTTTTTTGTATTTATTGTACTAAGTTAGCCCATAAGTCTTTAGACACTTTTTTCTACTAGTGTTTATAAATGACCAATTCAACCTACGGTTTGCTCCAAATAGAAAACGTTTAGCACTAACTTTTCTATCATTTCGAGCCGATTTGGGTCTGTTTCTAAGTAAATTCGAGTGCAAAAACTCGTTTTTCGTAAAATTCTATAAAGAGAAAAGAAAGCTCTATAAAGAAATCGGCTGAATAGATTATCCTGAAAATTCAGCTATATATCATTGAACTTTTTGCGCTCTATCTTTTATCTATTGACAGCAACATGGGTTTCTGTGGATCAGAGTGCCTGAATTGACTACCCGACTTCGCGCCCCCATAAAAAAACCATAGACAAAACATTCTCATAAGATTCGAACGTCATTTTGTAGAAAAATAATGGGCCTTTCTGATGGAGTCAATTGTAGATCAACTGGTGAATTTGCCATTTATAAACGCTAGTAGAAAAAGTGTCTGAAGACTTATGGGCTAACCTAATAGTTGGGTAAGATCCACTTTAGTTAGAAAATGGAAAGTTCCATTTTGTGTCCTATAAGGGTACGATACTTTATGACATAAGATAGCCTAGGTTATCCGTGTCACAAAGCAAGATTTCAATGGGGAAAAAATAGTGGACTGTTAAGCGCCTAACGTACTCTACTTATTTCGTAAATGCTAAGGGTACAGGTAAAGATTTTGATTCATGTTCTAGATGGGAAATGTCGCCTGGGTGCCGATGATCTCGATCGTCGTTATCTCTTATATCGCTGGTTGAATGGTGGATCTCGGCTCGGGACTTTCTTCTTCACACCACTTCTCCCACTAATTCTCGTGGTCAATCATTACATTAATTAGAGCTCAAGCACAAATGAAGTAGTAGCTATAGGCTAATCCAATTTGTGAATAATTCCAGTAATGCTTTGCAAGATTACAGTAGCTTTCCCAGTTCTCAAATCTTTCATTTAGTTCGTGATGCCAATTTGGATTGCCATTTATTTCCCATTGGTCATCTATCAGAGACAAGTTGGTTGATATTTGATGGTCAACTTTCAATTTGAATTTTAGATCCAGAAAGCCCGGTTCGCTGAATACGACAAGCTAACAAAAGCGGAGACGCAGTTCGCACGGTTTAAGGTAATCTGAAACTTTCGGGAAAAGTTAAAAGTCCTTCTTTAGGCAATCTGTCTGTGCATTGTCGGTGTGCCATTCGGTATCATTTTGGGATTTCTCTCGTTATTCTCATCGCCATTCCTTTTCATTGCTTACACTTTTCTCGCAATGATCGTGCTCGTCGTCGGAAAGGTGATTTTTTCAATTCAAATTTATTCTACTAATTGGTGCTTTCTAAAAAGTAGATAACTTGAAAAGCTATCGTAATTTTTCCTTTGGTTTCTATCCGATCTACTCTATAAACATATTCGATTGAAAATCATGAACTGAAGAAGATGAAAATTAAGTAGAAAGTATAGAATCTGAAGAAAGGATACTGAAGAAATGATATAGTTTTTTTCCAAATTACCCTGTTTTTTTACGACTGAATATCTTTCTTTACGACTGAATATCTTCCAAATTTGTTTAACTTCATTTTTACATCGATTTTTCTTTAGGTCAATCGTGCTCTGAAAATCCTCGGTTGTTTGTTGAGATGTCTTGGACTTGGCGATTTGCATGCAATGATTGGTATGAAGTTTTTCGAGATTACGGTAAAAATTCGCACCTTTTAGAGCAAACGATTATCGGCGAAGGGGAATTGAAAAGGAGAAAGGCTCGGCGAAAAGAAATCGAGCGGAAACAAAGTGAGACGGCGAGAAAATGACTTATAAATCTACATAGCTAGATACGCAAATTGATACTTGAATGCAAATTTTTGTATTCAGAGCATCCCGACGTCGCTCCATCGACCGCCACAAGATCGAAGAGAAACAAGGCGAACGAATCGCCGATCGAGAAGAAACCGACGAAGCTCGCCGATCGAAAACATCAACTATTTACCCCGGATAAAGCTATTTAAGATTTTTAACCTTAAACTTTTTCAATTCTTAATGATTCACGAGTTATGATCTCTTGAAGAAATAAAGCTTTCGGTTGATCAAATAGAGAGTCTAAACGTAGAGATTCAGCATCATTTGAGAGTTTATGTATACAGAAAAACCCTGTGTTTCTCGAGCACATGATTTCCCGGAGAAAAATCGAAAAGCTAAAGAATTTGGCATCAAAAATAAGTGATAAAGATGCAATTTGGCCCTCTTTTGAGAGAAGCCGATTTCTGTTGACAACTAGCTTGTCTTGATTTCTTGATGATCTCTGTAAACATATAAAAAGTAGTCGGTAATATATTTACACGGGAAATCACAATGAGGTTAGAAACAGAAAATTCGAGCGACGAAAATCGAGATGTGAAATATTTTATGGCAATCTAAAACGATTACCTTTGTAATACTTGATTCGCCAGGTTTTCCAATTCTCCGCATTGTTTCTCGTTGTACTCGGGAATCGAGAAGAATGAGATCTCTTCTTTTCTCTTTGTTGCCTAAAATTAAGCTTATTATGATAGGATAGGGTTCAACGGTCAAAAACCTTAGTTACATTTCGATAGAAACTCCACCTTAACAATTGGAGTGATGAATTCGTCGACAAAGTTGCGCCAAATCAACGATGGCCAATTTGTGTGAATAAAGTTGATGACGAGTCCTTTGATGTGTGAACCATCCTGATCTTGATCGGCTATGACCATTAGTTTTCCATAGCGTTCTCAGCAACCTAAGACAAGTTCCATCATCTTTTTAGAAGTTATCAGTTGAACATCTTGCCAAATATGCTAAAAAAAACTGCCTATTTGTTATTGCCTTCGCGTACATTCAACCCTTTTCCTCGCAACGGGAGCACTCCGAACCGATCGCGACTGATCACTTCAAGTCCGGCAACAGCCAAAGTCTGTAACCGTAAGATGAATAAAAATGTTAAAAGACGTCAGAAAATCAATGAATCTAAAACTCACTTTTGCTGAATCTCCCCAGGTGAGGATCAACGTGCAGTACACGGAATTTTTTGTTTCCGCGTCGTTGGCATCTTCCAATTTTGGTAATCCTTTCAGCTTGTTCGTCTTCTTCGATGAGCACTTCTAGTCCAAGTTCTCCATCTGTTTAAAGCGTACCCACGAGAGTACCGCGTCCACAATTCCGCAATTCATAGCCTAAAATAAAAAGTAAACTATACGAATCTTTAGCCATCCTTTTCACCTGTTTCACAAACTTCTCGTTGAGATCACATTTGCTGCCGAAGCTCTTAGACTGCAATGTCATCGTTTACTTTGTTTGAAAGTCAAACGTCGGATTCTCGATCAGCGCCTAAATTTTTTGTTAAATTCAAGTAAGCATTTTGATTAACAATTGAATTCAACTTTAGCCACCAACATTCACGAAGATCCAAATGTGATTTTTGACTTGGAAAGGCTTTACAGTCACCGAACTCTTGCCAGCCTTCTTTCTGATCGTCTCAATCAACTTTGCGACAATTTGATCGGCAACATAATCCACATGACGATCACCCTAAAGACTCAACGTTTCCCCAAAATCGTAAAATCCAAACCTTTGTCGTAGCAATCGAGTTGGTAAATGAGACTTGTTGAAAGCCTCTCTCGCTGACACACAGGTCAACCTAAAGACCAAATTGATTAGCAAAATCCGAAAAATTTTCACCTCCCAGCGATCGTTCACTTGCTCATAGCAGACTTTGATTGTTCCGCCCGTGTGTTATCCGTTGATCGGTGATATCCGTTGTATACTGCTCGATGTATTGTTTGAAGCCACTAGCTAGAAGTTCATTTTAAGTTACATTTCAAACCACATTCCTAAATATCCAAAGATTTATTTTTAGTTAAGCGATACAAACCTTCGCGTATTCGGCCAACACTTGTCTAAGTTCTGGTCAATGCCGCTTACTTCTTCCGCTCAACTCCTTAAAAGTCATAACACGCAATTCGAATAGTCTCTATGTGAAGTTTTGAAAAAAATTCATAGCCCATTGCTGCTTTTCCGACGGTCTAGATAACAAATAAACTTTTATTCAACAAGAATGAATTTGGTAAACAAACAAGAAACAGAACAAACAGAAAGCACGTCAATGTATCACAAGCCAACTTTTGAGATCGTCTTTTTGAATGATGATGAATGATGTGACTGCAACCATGACCGTGCCGAAACTAAAATTTTGAAAAAATAAGAGCAACCACTCCTGAACTCTCGGCATTGATTTTTCACGAAGATCCATCTATTCACATCGATCTACATCAGAAGCCGCGCCTAAAAATTAAACCAGCAGAAGTCGATACAAACACTCTAAGCGTGAACCCAAAAACAAAGAACGATCGGAGCATTGTACTCGACAAAGAAAAGGTTCAACAAATGGACCAGCTCAAATTCAAACTCGCTACAGGCTCATCAAAGCTGAAATCGCGCATCGCATGTGGGGCATCAAACAAAGAGGAAAAAACAAAGAAATCGAAAGAAGTCAAGGATCCGAAGAAACCCGAAAAGCGAAAGAAAGAGAAATGTCCATGGGAGGACTACCATCATGGACGAGATCGGGAGGAGCGACGATCAAGCAGTGATCACGCAGGGTCATCTACACGCAAATAAGCCATCAAACAAAACTTTATATTGTTTTTCTATTATTTTTTTTCTATTATTGTTCTTGTGTTTTTATGAGATAAATTTGATTTATTTAGGTTTACATGATCAATTTTGTATTTCTCTTTGAAATGAGGACGAAATCTATTTCCCAATTGGAAGCCGAGTGGAGAATCCGGAACTTTTCGACAAACCTGGGTCAAGAATATGACAAAGGACAAGGATGCAGAGATTGTGAAGACGAAAGGAGACGACTATACGAATGTGTAGTGGGATTTGTTGCTTTACCATCTAAATTTCTTTTAGGTCACTTTCAAGCCGGAGTTGGCTAAATTCAAGATGCCGGAGCTGGATGATGATATCATCGGATTGATTTCACGACGTGCTTTTGATGTAGCTGGCGCATCTTGTGGCATAAAAGTGTTACCGGTGTGTTTTCCTTGTTGGAATGTAATTTAAAATGAAGTTCTAGGTTAGTGGTTTCAAACAATACATCGAGCAGTATACCAAGGATATCACCGATAACACTCGAAGTGGGCGGGGCTTCATCAGTTAAGTGGGGCTACTATTAGAAGAAATACGGTATCTTTACACGATAAATTTCGTGTTTTTTCTTTCAATTAAGATATTTTTTGGTGGGTGGGTGATAAGGGGGGGGGGGGGGAATTTAATTTGGGGCTTTTTGTTTTTTTTTGAAGGTGAGATGGAATTGGTTTTCGGGCTCTTTGAACTTCAGCCACTATAAACTTTCAAACAAGAAATGAACTTTGAATTATTTATTGAATCAAGAACGCAAAAGAAATAAAAAAATCCAATCCTTAGCATCCAGGTTTAAAATTGGCAATGGCCATGTTGTAGCGGTTTTTTTCCCCGCCCCCTGGGTGGGGCGGGAAAAATTCAACCTAAAGAGAAAGTAGTTGACTGGATAGACACAAAAGTAACTTACTTGAAAGCTTCTCGATAACGTTGTCTCAAGAAGAAATGGCTTCGCACGATGGAATGCTGAGCATTTGAGACATGACACCACGAATGTACGGAGCTTTTGGACGGCGCCTGAAATAAAACACTGTAAATATTAAAATATTAAATCATTAGTAGTACCTAGGAAGTGGTTTCTCAAACATGAAACCATTCGAATCCTCGACGACCTTTCCGTACGTCTTGAAGATTCCTACATGGAGAGATGCAGCGAAAGAGAAGTGATCCGTCTGATAAGTCCAAGGACGATCATTCTAAAGTATCCAAAATTTGAAAAAACAAAACTTCACACTTACCAGCATTTCAGGACAATCGAAGCATTGTGTTCCGGCGCGACCACTGAAGGAAGTTCCACCTGGCAGAGAAGAGAGATCAATTGCTCGACCCCAATCGATGAGACGTATGATGGGCCTTGCAGAAAGCAACACGTCGGCGCGTAGAGACAATCCTTCGGGCAATCTGAAACAACAAAGTAACTGTTTAATTTAACCACGACTCACTTTCCAATGAACATCACATTGTCTGGCTTTACATCTCCATGGATAATTCCGGCGGCGTGAACTTCTTCCAAAATTCGTGCGAGTTGAAGAGATCGAGTACAACACTGTAGGACACTGTAGGGCAACACTGTAGGGCGAACGATCACCTCGATACGGTGGGGTCATCGCTGGGTCCTCGACAACGACCAGGTTATGTCCCCTCTTTCTGTTGATCTTTCCTTCTTTGCAGAACTTTTGCGTAGAGTTCAAGGTCTCTAGGTAAAATTTGCCCAAAGCGATTAGATCGTTGTTATTGATTTTCGCACCGTAACTCTTGCGGAAAAGTCCCTGTAGTGACCAAGGAAGTCCGTTTCCTCTTTGATCATTTACATTTCTAGTCAGTGTACTCAGATTGCGTAATCCCATTTTTTCAATCCTTGAAAACATCTGTTTCATAGAGTCAAGTTGTTGGTGGGTAACCAGGCATATTGGAATTCCGGGTGCTACTACCATTGTTGCTGTTGGAGTTAGCTTTCTTGCTAGGTTAGCCAACTCTTTGAATAGCTGGTCTGAGGCAATTCCTTGAGATGACTCGGAAACGCCTGGGTTGATCACGATGAACAACAGCTCGATCATATTGACTTTCGAAATTAGTGAGTTCAGTTCACGTAGCCTTTTGAGGACAGGTTCACAACCCTCAGCTGTTTTTAACACATAGGTGCTGAAACCTGAGCTCTGAACCAACTCAATTGCTTTCGTAGCCGCATCATCTGCAACAATAACAATTTGCTTGTTACTAAGTAGTGCCGCTAGTTGATCCTTTGTATCCTGCGTTCGTTTCTCTTTTCTCCACGTCCCTTTTGATAGATTTCCCGTTAGACGCAGCGCTTCGCTTTTTGTTCTTTTTTCGTCCATGGCTTTCTCATACATAAAGCTCCAATAGCCATTGCCTATCACCTTTGGTTTCTTGATGAGAAGTTCTGCGTATGCGTTACAGGCATCCGTTGAAAGAGCAGCATAATGTTCCATTCCCAGTACAATGCTGGACGGAGTAACTTCGCCCCTCAGGACTTGTTGTATCAAAATTCCAAGTTCAAGCCCGTCGTCGAGGTTGTTGAAAAAATGGAACAGTGTCTTCATATCCTCAATGACGTAGCACTTCAGATTGTCGTCGATCTCCTTGTCCCATTTGTTCGCGATTTCGGCAGCGAGAATTGGCACGCGAAGTTTTGCCGATGGATGTAAAAGATGATCCTCATTGATGACCACTCGTTCATCTTCCATTCTGAAAGTAGAATCATTTGCTTTTTGGCGTAGGGATAAGCCATAGTTAGGTGAAGTTTCATTCTCTCACCTGTCTCCCACCGTGACGTTGATGGCCTGTTTTTGTTCCAAGTCAATGACGAGCTCGCGGTCTACAAAGTACGCTTCGCTTCAGAAGCCTCGAGCTCTGCGTCACTCATGACTATCGAGACTAAAATAAAAAAGCTATAAATTCGATTGAAACCAGGTGTAAAGAATCATACGATTGGCGAAAATTTCGCTGCTGAAACCAATGCGCATAGAGACAATCCTTAGGAAAATAATAGAAAATAAATGATGCGTAAATTTTTTCAAAGTTTTTTGAATTTTCTCAGCAACGAGTAAAGCAAATCGAATTCCTTTTATTTCTATAAATGTGCCTATGGAATGCGAACATTCTAACAGAGTTTCTAAACTTTTAGTTAAAAACCCGTAATTTTGTGCAACTTTTTGTCTCTCAGGTGAGTGGGCGGGGCTTCATCAGTTAAGTGGGGCTACTATTAGAAGAAATACGGTATCTTTACACGATAAATTTCGTGTTTTTCTTTGCAATGAGAATGAATTTGGAGGCTTGGAGAATTGAATGGAAGCAGCGAAGACAAAGTTTATTTGCCGGACCGTTGCAAAACTATTAAATTAGCAAAGGTAAAAGCATAAACTGGCTTCAGCCACTATAAACTTTCAAACAAGAAATGAACTTTGAATTATTTATTGAATCAAGAACCAAAAAGAAATAAAAAAATCCAATCCTTAGCACCCAGGTTTAAAATTGGCAATGGCCATGTTGTAGCGTTTTGCTTCCTCAGCCCATTGCGTCGAGCGGAAATTCAACCTAAAGAGAAAGTAGTTGACTGGATAGACACAAAAGTAACTTACTTGAAAGCTTCTCGATAACGTTGTCTCAAGAAGAAATGGCTTCGCACGATGGAATGCTGAGCATTTGAGACATGACACCACGAATGTACGGAGCTTTTGGACGGCGCCTGAAATAAAACACTGTAAATATTAAAATATTAAATCATTAGTAGTACCTAGGAAGTGGTTTCTCAAACATGAAACCATTCGAATCCTCGACGACCTTTCCGTACGTCTTGAAGATTCCTACATGGAGAGATGCAGCGAAAGAGAAGTGATCCGTCTGATAAGTCCAAGGACGATCATTCTAAAGTATCCAAAATTGAAAAAAACAAAACTTCACACTTACCAGCATTTCAGGACAATCGAAGCATTGTGTTCCGGCGCGACCACTGAAGGAAGTTCCACCTGGCAGAGAAGAGAGATCAATTGCTCGACCCCAATCGATGAGACGTATGATGGGCCTTGCAGAAAGCAACACGTCGGCGCGTAGAGACAATCCTTCGGGCAATCTGAAACAACAAAGTAACTGTTTAATTTAACCACGACTCACTTTCCAATGAACATCACATTGTCTGGCTTTACATCTCCATGGATAATTCCGGCGGCGTGAACTTCTTCCAAAATTCGTGCGAGTTGAAGAGATCGAGTACAACACTGTAGGATACCTCGCCGGTCACGTTGTTAATGCATTGCAGCATGTTGCCCATCGACAAGTACTCGTTGACAATCAGAGATGCGTTCCGGAAGATGTACATGTCGTCGATCTTCATGATGGCGAGGCTGATCTCCGTGGAAACGCGATTGTGGACGGCTAAATTTATTAATAGGAACTCCACTAGTTCATCAAACTTTACCTTGCGAAATGTAGGCTTCCCAGGCACACGATGGAACCTCGTACTAAATATAATTGTAGAGCAAAAGTTTTAAACGCTTTACCTTCAAAGCTACTGTCAATCCTTCGTCATTGCGAGCTCGATGCACCTTTGCAAAACCGCCTTCACCTAATAGCCAATCCTTGAAACCTCATCCGTATTCACGATTTGAGCTGGAGAAGGTTCCTGAAAAAATGATTAATTACAGGTGAAAACAAGTATAATAGTTTTTTACATGGCATAATCAAATGTTACCTCTAAAGATCTTGACGCAATTAAATGTGGTGTCTTTGAGCAGCCGTTTGTAGAATAATTCCCCTTGTTCACAACCTAAAAATCCAAACATTTATTCTTAATTAAGCGATACAAACCTTCACCTATTCGGCCAACACTTGTCTAAGTTCGGGTCAATGCCGCTTACTTCTTCCGCTTAACTCCTTAAAGGTCATAACACGCAATTCGAATAGTCTCTATGTGAAGTTTTGAAAAAATTCATAGCCCATTGCTGCTTTTCCGACGGTCTAGATAACAAATAAACTTTTATTCAACAAGAATGAATTTGGTAAACAAACAAGAAACAGAACAAACAGAAAGCACGTCAATGTATCACAAGCCAACTTTTGAGATCGTCTTTTTGAATGATGATGAATGATGTGACTGCAACCATGACCGTGCCGAAACTAAAATTTTGAAAAAATAAGAGTTATCAAAATCTCTATGGAATGTTATCGGCTACGATTCGAAAAAACTTGCTCATTCTTAGTTGCTTCGTTAATATCTTAGAGCATTTTTCGTAAATTTTAAAGGCCATAATGCTAGGTCATCAGCGACGAGTTACTTTGATTCTAACAGATCACACTCTAGCTTTTTACTTAAACCACAAGCAAATGATGAAACCTGGTTAAATTGGCGTATAGTTGCTCTGTCGAATGCCACCACGGAAAACATCATCCGAAAAAGCGCCCAAATCCACGAACACATCGACCTCGGCGAGATCCACAAACACGGTGAGAGGCAACTGTCCACTCTGATGCTGCTTAAAATGACGGTGGGTGTTGATCGGGTTTGGTGGACTCTAAAGTACAAGAATTATAAGCTGTAATTTCAAACCTAAGATCTCATCGATTCTATAGAAAAACTACAATCAAAGAGAAACCTGACCTGCATCATCACATTATGCAAGAGATACTTGTGTCTTCTACCTCCTGATGTACCGAAGTCTCGCGGAAACGATTCATACGTGCGATTATTCACTGGCTGAGTGTGAGCAAATCGATAGCAGACGTTGTCTCGAGGGTCGGTGATCTCGAAGTATGTGCCACCAGCAGGGAAGTGGAAGTCGATAGGGTTGGCGGGAGGGTTGCCCCGTTCTTCGACAAACATCAAGATTGGACGAGGACGTTGCACATTCATCTAAAGGAAGAAATGAAAAATCAGCCAACATCAAAAAATGAGCACTTATCACTTAACGTCACTGTGACGTGCACTTTATAGGCTTAATATTTGATTTCAATCAGCTACTGACAAAAAAGGAGATCCATAAACTGACCTTCGCTTCCGATTTCGAACCAAACTCCTTGGATCTAAAACAACCGAAATTATTAAATCTGAAGAATATCAAATAGTCGTAAAGTAAAGACCAAAACACTGTCAGATAAAGAGCGCACAAGAAAATACTTGAAACTAATAACCGTTCACTGGAGCTAATTTTTACATATGAATAATCTGAAATAACAGGTTTTGATCCATGTTGGGCTCCTACTCGTCAACGTCTTCTTCGTCGGTGTCATACTCGTCAAAGTCCTCTTCGCCAGTGTCATCTTCGTGTTCCAAACCCCCTGACATCATTGCCGAAAAATTGCCTTCGTCAACGCGTACCTAAAATTGAATTCTGAAATTCTCGTAGCCTCGTAAAAATCCACACTTAAAATCTCAACCTAACGAATTAAATAAGTACAAGTCAAGAACTTTCACCCGCAGAAAATTTTAACACTGAACCTGTTGATAGCCGGCAACACTTGAAAGCTTCTCGACAAATCGACCCAACATCAGCACATCTTCGAATCCGGCCTGGACATTCACAAGTATTCCATACGAAATATCTCGATCGTAGCACTAAAAGTCTATCATGAATATTGTTATTTAACCTAGATCTGGGCAAAGGTTTGCCGCCTAAGAATAGTTCCTCTAGTATGATATTATATCACTATATGATATTATTATATTATATGAGAAATAAATATAGGAATTTATTATTGAAACAAAAAGACAGACCTCAAGCAACATTTCCGGCAATAAGAGCTTGGAGTTGCCCAAATTTTCGACTGCGAACTTCCTTTTTTCGTTGATCGGGTAAGCAAGACGAAAAGCCTTTCCGCCATAGATCACGTCCAAATGATTCGGTTCCACCGCGAAAGAATCGAAATCCTTCGAGAAACGCAGTTGAGGTGTCATTAAGTCACAACTAAAGGATGAAAGTGTGGGCAAAAAGCAAGGAAAAACATAATAGCAGATCAATAAAAAAGAAAAGCTATCAACGAAGTTTTTATATATGTTTTCATCTAATCGGACTTATTAGCTCAAGAACGTATTCTTCTTTTTTATGGTTATGGTGGCTGGCGCAAAGAAGCTCTACGGATTCCGCGTATTCGTCGCCTCGTGTGTGCTCACAACGGTAACGATAGGTGAGCTTTAATTGAGATAAAACTGTCGTTGATGTCAACGAGTCGTAAGATGTCATTATTTAGGTTTCGTGCTATGGGACGAGCAGAATCAACGGAATCGACGACAAGAAGGCGTTCGACAACGATTGAAAAGCGTGCAACAACAACAGAACATGACCGATTACGCTATGCAGAAACAAAAGTTGGTTTTAAATTACACAAGGTTCACTGTTTTTGTATTTAGATATGAGGAGTACAAAACAACGCACTCGTAATCGGTGGCGATGAAATATTGATAGCTTGAGGTTTACTCCTGTTGTAGATTAGTGTATTTTTACGGGTATTTGTTATTTTGTTTGTACTTTCTTTTTCTTGTTGTATGAATGAATAAACGTTTTGCTTAACTTTTTAATCCGTTTTTTAGTTCGTTCCTGGCGATCGGATATTTTTTGCGTTTCAATTAATTAAAACTTCAAATGCCTCAGAATCTAATGTCACTTTTTTAGTATTCTGACAAAATGCCAAGCGACGACAAGAAAGCGCCAAAGAAGGTTGACGATGGAAATTACGATAAGGAGGTAAAATTTGAAAATCTTTGAATAATACACTGTGGTGCAAAAGTCCTGACCGGTCGCACTGTCCTATCAAATCTGAACCATTTCGCCAGAAAAAAGAACGTTAAAATTTTATGGTAAAAACGTTTTTGGATAGCTTAAACCTTCTACTTTTATAATCCAAAGAATGAAAGCAATAACATTTTATTTAACAAAAAAATTTTGACAATATTCCGAAACGACTCAAAAAAACATGGTGCAAAAGTCTTGACCGGTTTTTTATTTCTTGATTTTTTTTTGGTATTTCTTGTCTTTCTGCATAAACTTTTTGGTTCTAATTCTATTTTTTTTAGATGCCAGGACGATATCTATCAACGCCTGACAAAGAGAAAATTGTCGAGAATCGAACAAAAGGCGTTCGCGTGAAGAATGTGATGGAAACGTTCAAGTGTTCTGAAAAAACAGTGAGACGTCTCGTGGCGCAATTCAAATCAAAAGGAAACGTTCATAGAGCCCCAAAAAGAGGTCGATCACCAATTACAACACCAAATGAGGATCGTTCGATCATCAGGGAGCACCGAATAAACCCTAATCTAACGTCGAGCTATGGGATCAAGAAGTTGAAAGCTGTTTCTGGCAAGGATATTTCCCGATGGAGCATCAACCGTCGCTTGATTCGAGCAGGATTGCATGCAAGAAGACCAGCAAAACGACCCTTGACCATTGCAAAAACTCGGAAGCTGAGATATGATTTTGCAAAGAACTACGAGTGTTGGACTTCCGATGACTGGGCCCGAGTCATTTTTACCGATGAGACTAGAATTAATTTATACTACCCGGACGGTAACCATTTAATCAGAAGACCAATTGGACAACGTTATAAGCTCAAATACGTTAAGCCAACGGTCAAATTCGGTGGTGGGAGTATTATGTTGTGGGGTAAGTGTTCGCCCTATTTTTTACTTACGATTTGTCTTTTTTAGGCTCGATGAATCGAAGTGTATCGGGACCGCTAGTGTTTATCGATGGAAATCTCGACGCTCAAAGGTACAAGTCAATCATAGAGAACAACTTACTTCCATTTGCAAACACGAACATGCCACAAGGATGGGCCTTATATCAAGACAACGCCCCTTGCCACAAAAGCCAATTACTGATGGGTCGAGTTGTCCGGCTTGCAAATGGAGGTAAAGTTCGCCTGCCCGGCTTTTTTGCTGCTCATCGTGTGGAATTGATCAAAGCACCTCCCTATTCGCCGGATCTGAACGTTATAGAGCATCTTTGGGCCCATTTAAAAGCCAAACTCAAGGGACGCCGGTTCAACTCAAAGGTCGATGCTTATTTCTTTATCAGAAATGTTTGGAGACAACTTTCTTTGGGAATTCTACGTGATTTGGTCGACTCGATGCCTAGACGCATCAAGGCAGTCATTGTCGCAAAAGGAGGACCTACGAAGTATTGAATTTTCTTGTGTTTTCTTGTACCGGTCAAGACTTTTGCACCATGTTTTTTTGAGTCGTTTCGGAATATTGTCAAAATTTTTTGTTAAATAAAATGTTATTGCTTTCATTCTTTGGATTATAAAAGTAGAAGGTTTAAGCTATCCAAAAACGTTTTTACCATAAAATTTTAACGTTCTTTTTCTGGCGAAATGGTTCAGACTTGATAGGACAGTGCGACCGGTCAGGACTTTTGCACCACAGTGTATTTGAATGATTTTAGGTGATTTCAAAATCGCCCAACCTGGAGATCGCTCAACTGCGCTTCCTCGTCAATCACCCTGAATTGGATCCAACTCTCAAGGCCACCAACCTCGAGCAATTGATGATCGAGATTAAAGCCAACGACATGGCCCCATTCTACAAGTTGTTGGCCGAGGAGGTGAAACTGCCATTCGACAAGGCTCTATACGATTCCATGACGGCGAAGAATCAAGAGAAAATCGAGGCCTTTGATGCGGAGATTGCCGAGAAAGCCGAGAAGAACATGGGTGAAAGTGAGGTGCGACAGGCTTGGCTAAAGAAGTACGAGTATTTCTGTCAAATCGGAGACAAGGAAAACGCCCTGAAAGCTTTCACGAGCACTTTCGAGAAGACCGTTGGCGTTGGGTACAAGATCGGTTTGGTGTTCAATATGATTCGTGTTGGACTGTTCTTTCTGGAGCATCAACTGATGAACAACTATGTCACCAGGGCCAAGGAGCTGATGGAACAGGGCGGTGATTGGGAACGTAAGAATCGTTTGCGATCGTACGAAGCCCTCTACAAGATGTCGATTCGAGACTTCTCCGGTGCCGCGGCTTTGTTTCTCGAAGCTGTGCCGACTTTTGGAAGCTACGAGTTGCTGAGCTATGAACAATTGGTCTTCTACACGATTACCACATGTGTGCTGGCACTGGAGCGTCCCGATTTGCGCTCAAAAGTCATCAAAAGCAACGAGGTGCAGGAGCAGCTGACCGGTGGCGGAGAAAAAGGGACAGCTCGTCATGATGCGCGACTACCTCAACTCGTACTACGATTGTCACTACGAGAAGTTCTTCCACAATTTGGCAACTTTGGAGTCGGAGAGGTTGAAGTTCGACAGATACTTCTTCCCCCATTACAACTACTACAGCCGTGGAATGCGCCTCAAGGCTTATCTCCAATTTTTGACTCCCTACAAGACAGTTCGTTTGGACATGATGGCCAAGGATTTCGGTGTGTCAGTGGAATTTCTGGACAAAGAGTTGCACCGCCTTGTTGCCGCTGGACAAGTGCCTTGTCGAATCGACGCTGTGCAAGGAGTCATCCACATGCACCACCCGGACACAAAGAATCGCTTGTTTAAAGTGGTCATTCGAGATGGGGATTTGGTCGCCAGTCAAATGCAAAAGTTGTCACGGGTTCTTCTTTAAAACAAACCAACAAATTTTGTCTTACTCTTTTTCTCATGTGTTATTTATTCCTTGAGATATTATCTGATCTGGTACTTTAATTTTTTGTGATGATCTTTTTTGAATGTTCGGTTTTGTCAATAAATAAATTTTCAGATGCTGGCGTCTCAGCGAATTGGGTCAACGTAATGTAATTCCTTTTGTGCCGTAGTCGGCTGGGTTTAACTTTCCAGGGACATGAAACAACTTTACTGAGATTTTTGATGCCTTTAATTCTTCTTGAATCTGAGCAATTTTGTTTGTACGGCTCTGCACAAATTTTCCTGCCTTATCCCTTGTTTTTTCTTGAGTGACCCATTTCAGTGCCACTTCTGAATCTCCGCGAATAATGATTTCATCAATCTTTAATTTTATTTCGTTCAATAGGTATTGAGCCTGCTTATGAGCGCATTCTAGGGCTAACAATTCCATCTTTGGGATTGTGGGAATGACTTTAGTAGGGTTCAACCTATTCTTTGCAAAGATTATCGATGACTCAAATCTTTCTTCAATTTTTGTTTGCAGGTACGCGACAATTGCGTAAGCTTTTACCGATGCATCAGCGAATATCACTATTCGTGTGTAGTCTCTTTTTTGTGTCCTAAGGATGAACCTTGGGATTGTGATGCTTGTTTCTTTACCGAACTTGCTTTCAATCTCTTCCCATTGCTCACTCTGTTTTTCGGGTAGTTGGTGATCCCATTTTAAGTTTTTGATCGACCACAAGCTTTGATAAAAACTTTTAGCCTCAATCAGCAATGGGGTAGCGATTCCCAATGGGTCTTAATTCGTTGCAATAGCTTGAATTATTTTCCTTTTGGTTAACGGTCGCTCCGCCTTAATTTGGGTGGTTTGCGATAAAGTATCTTTGTCGCTGTCCCAAGTCATTCCTAGCAGTTTTAGTGAGCTTTCCACAATTTTACCTTCCTTTTCAATCAAGTTTAGCACAATTTTGTTGTTGCTAGTGAATTCTCGAATGTTCATCTTCATTTTCCTAAAGACATCCTTGTATGTCTTATATTTTTGAATAGCTTCTTGCTCGCTATGTGCGCCGACAAAAAGATTGTCGACGTACATATTTTCGGCAACTTCATCCTTCAGTTCAGGATAATTTTGTTCTAACATGTGTAGTATCGACATTGTGAGTAGGAAAGCACTGGCTTTAACACCGAATGGTGTCCTTGTATATCTTAAGACTTTCAAATTTTGGAAGGAAAAGGGTTGTTTGTAATCTTTCAACCACAATATGCGAACTGCATCTTTTTCGGAACTTTGTAGGTGAACTTGATGATATGCTTTCTCTACATCGGCTGTAAGCAATATTGGAAATGTTCTCAATCTTATCAAGATTCCGATCATGTTTGGGATCAATGACGGGCCTTGATGCATGATTTGGTTCAGTGATTTCTGCCCTTTCATGCTCGCACTTGCATTCAAAACAATTCTTAATTTAGTGGTCCTCGAAACTTCTTTTATTACCGCTTGATGTGGTATATAAAAGCTTATTGGGCCTTCAATTTTCGTTGGTGCTTCTTCTAGGATTTCTTGCTCCAATTGTTTTTGAAATTCATCATTATATTTTGCCAATAATTCTGGGTTTCCTTTGAGTTGCTTGATGAGGCTATGCAAGTATTGCATTGCAAGCTTGAAATTATCTTCAATTTCAATTAGGTTTTTTCTCTACCCAAGGAAATTTTACAAGAATTTTTCCTTGACGAGTTGGACCTCTTCTTTAAATTTTGTCATAACTTCTTGTTGCTCCTTTTCTGAAGCTGCCGCTTCTGGGGAATCAGTGATTTCCATACTTTCTAGATCCCAAAAATTTTCCTCTGTTATGTTGCCGATAGCTGTGGAAATGTTGGTAATGTTCTTGACTTTTTTGTTTAAGTACAAATCTAGCTCTCCGCAATCTAGCCTCATCAAGCAACTCAAAGGAAACCCAGAATTATTGGCAAAATATGATGATGAATTTCAAAAACAATTGGAACAAGAAATCCTAGAAGAAGCCTAAACTTTCTAACTTAATCAAATCACTCCCTTTGCAGATAGCGGGCGCAATTCTCGCAGCCGGTTGGTACATTATGATGACGTCGATGTTCACTGTAACACTATATCGTTTCATTGTCATTCTTTTCCCAACGATCAGCCAAATTGTCACAACGAATCGAGCATTTATTGTGAGCTTTGCAATGATTCAGTGAATCAATCAATGATCAATCATCAATTTTCAGGTTGTATTAGCCGGAAATTTGTCTATTTTTGTGATCGTTCTCTTTGTGCATCTTATCGGATGGAATGCTCAATACTTGACCGAATTCGGGTATGTTTTTCAATTTCGAAATGAATTTCAAAAATTGAAATCAGATTAAACGTGTTTCTAGTTGGGTTTACGCGGACGGTCTCCCATTGACCGATCTCTTCAATGATTTCGATAATTACGGAACACCCGCGTTGACAGTGATTTGCCTCTTCATGTACATTGCCATTTTCACGTTTTTGATGAAAAATGTGAGTTGTCAGTGATCTCATCAGTAAATATTCCTATTCAGAAGAAAATCAATCGTCAAAATGATATTCGATGGGCTTTACAGGTAAGGAGTCTCAACCACAGTAAGGAGTCCAATAGGACATAAGGAGTCCAATAGGACATAGGGCCTATATGCAAATTTAGACGTTTTGTTTCTGTCTTTACACAATATTCGTCTCCGTTGAGTGGACGTGGATCTACGATTTAGTGAGATACGATCGAATAAAGCTCAATATTCGGTATTTAGGTGCCTGAAACATACACTAATATCTTTCTTGAGAATTTCCTTTGGCCTTTATGGAATGGAGCCAATGTGGTCTTCTTTTTTACCTTTCAAAAGTGAGTTTAATATGGAGAAAAGAGAAAAATGTGCCATCAGATTTAGAAGTACCAAAGAAAAGGTTAAATTTCCAGAAATGTTATCTGGGGCGACAAACGCGTGATCGCCATGATACCAGTGGCCGGTCCGATTCCCCCTTCTCGAAGAAATTCTTGTCGTCCTCCAGATCCCAAAGATACCCAGGGAACAAGATTATCCTTTTGAACATATGTTCCAAACATATTTGCTTTTCACAACCGAAACTCATTTTTATTAAAACCCATATCGTGAATGAACACAATCCAAGAAAGATAGTCACTAGAAATGGGCGAGAAGTTGCCCAGATGTTTATCACAGTTTTAACATATATAAACAGAAAGAGAAATTATCCTAAAAACGACATGCACTAGAAAGGATAAATAATAGAAACTATTAAAAGGCGGCCCATGCCAATAAGTTAATTGATTGATATTACAGGAATTGCGATGGCAGTATAGCTACGTTTTAAAAGTTATAGAAAATCTTATAGATTTCTGACTATTCTTCGTCTTCGTCTTCAGAAACCACTTGTCCCAGCGCTTTCAGGCGTTTCCTAAAAAGAAACGTGTTTGGTCGAGTATTTAAAAAAGTGGCCGCTTTGTTTCTAGCAATATACACAAAATAAAAAATCTACCTGTATGATGAAAGCTTATTATGCTGATCGGCTAAAAGGACGAGTAAATCCTCTTGTTCGTCTTTTATTCGCCGAAGTTCATCTTCAGTCTAAAACGAAACGAATGCACTTTAATATAAAATTTATCAACCTTTGCATCAGTAGTGTGCCCGTTAACAGCTGGATTATGAGGACCATTTGCAAAGTTAGTCTAAAAATTACACCTAGAATCGAATGGGAATACATTAATACCTTCAATTGTTCCATTTCTGCACGTAATTGGTTGTAAGCCTGTTCCAGTTCCTAAATGAACATTGTTCACACATTTTCAAGATTTTGCTTACCTCTGCTCTCTGTTTCCAGCCTTGTGTAGAAGCAATTTGTTGTTGAATCTAAATGTTTTTGTAATGACAATAATGACTTTCTATTTGTCTTAAATCACCACTCAAGAAAAAAAATACTTGTTGACTTTGCGCCTCATAAGCTTGCCATCCATAACCGAGTTGTTGTTCCAATTCGGTAATTTGAGCCTGCAGTTGTTGTAGGCCAGCATCAATTCCACCATTTGGCATCTAGAAAGAAACAAATAAACAATAAAAAACCATTAAATGCACCTGCGAAACTTGGAAAGATTGCCATTGCTGAGCCCATTGCTTGTACTTCTCTACTTCTGCTACCCATTGTTGATTGATACTAAAAGTGAAGCAATATGCCACCAGTAACTTATCTAAAAGTTTACTTTCTCAGATGGGTGATTTGATGTTCAAGTTGCTCGTTGTTTGTAGTTTTCTGATTGGCGATTTCTAGCTGCGCTCTAGCATCCTCCAGTTCTTGTTTGAGCGCAGAAGCAGAAGCCTAAAATCAATACGTAGTCAAAAAACCAGTGCAATCAAGAATTACAAAAACTTTGTTTATGTGTCAAGTAACAAACCTGTTGAGCTTTTAATCATTCAAGCTCTTCGCGGGTTCTTTTGTAATCAGTCTTCAGCACTGAAATCTCTTCATCTTGCCGTTTGATCAAATCCTAAAATAGATCCAAATTCCATTGTTTAGATTGTTTAATAAAACCTTAAATGATTGGATAATCGTGTCGTTGCTTGCCGTGACCAAGCTTTTCGAGATTACGGTAAAAATTCGCACCTTTTAGAGCAAACGATTATCGGCGAAGGGGAATTGAAAAGGAGAAAGGCTCGGCGAAAAGAAATCGAGCGGAAACAAAGTGAGGCGGCGAGAAAATGACTTATAAATCTACATAGCTAGATACGCAAATTGATACTTGAATGCAAATTTTTGTATTCAGAGCATCCCGACGTCGCTCCATCGACCGCCACAAGATCGAAGAGAAACAAGGCGAACGAATCGCCGATCGAGAAGAAACCGACGAAGCTCGCCGATCGAAAACATCAACTATTTACCCCGGATAAAGCTATTTAAGATTTTTAACCTTAAACTTTTTCAATTCTTAATGATTCACGAGTTATGATCTCTTGAAGAAATAAAGCTTTCGGTTGATCAAATAGAGAGTCTAAACGTAGAGATTCAGCATCATTTGAGAGTTTATGTATACAGAAAAACCCTGTGTTTCTCGAGCACATGATTTCCCGGAGAAAAATCGAAAAGCTAAAGAATTTGGCATCAAAAATAAGTGATAAAGATGCAATTTGGCCCTCTTTTGAGAGAAGCCGATTTCTGTTGGCAACTCGCTTGTCTTGATGTCTTGATGATCTCTGTAAACATATAAAAAGTAGTTGGCAATATATTTACATGGGAAATCACAATGAGGTTAGAGACAGAAAATTCGAGCGACGAAAATCGTGATGAGAGTGAAGGTGGCTGCGGTTTTTGGAGAGGAATTGCAGAGATCTCCCGCACAACAGCATACTTTGTTCGAGCCTGGTCCCGAGCAGCCGGTATCCTAGAAATTCAAGAGTTAAGAAGTTTCAAAAAAGATCAAACTTTTTGAACTCCAATCTTTGAAACGATTAAGATCAAAGAAAAAAAGATCAAGCTTTTTAGCCGGAACCGAACCCCAACCTTTGGAACATTAACCAGGCGTGCTAGCCCCTCGGCCACTATTCATGAGCAGCAAAAATCGATTGCGTGCGCTAAAGCTTGTGGGTTTGCAAACGGTTTGGTAAAGCAAATTCGGCTCTGCACAACTATTGAGAGAATTGCGTCCAAGCACTTTACAGAAACCAAAAAGCTAACGCAAAAACTGAATCGAAAAAAAAAAGTGAAAGCATGGACGCAATCTCACCTCAGACTTGTTCTATGAATTGCATAGATCCCCAGCGCAACAACATTGCTGACTCTGCCAATCACCCGTGCAACCTGTGTTCTAAAAAGTGGGCTAAAAAAGTTTAAAGTTCTAGAAGGGTCAAGTTAGGCAAAAACTCAAGGAAAATGTTATAGCTTTTCTATAATATCCGTATCTATAGTTTCTATAGTATCGTACTCATCAGCTTTTCCTACTCAAAAATAGGGCATACCGTAAATCTACTATATAAAGAGCAGTCTGTACGGGCATTTTCTCGGCCGTGTTTTGACCAATAAAGCTAAAACTTCTTTAGAAAACCTTAAAATATATTTTAGTGGCGCTATTTAAAATAAAAAAATTGAGAAAACACCAAAATTTAGTGGCATCACGGGGGTCGAACCCGGACCAGGTGGGCCATAGACAAGCGCGCTGCTGACTACGCCACTGCCTGCCTCACATGCCAATGCCCTAACACCCGCAGCTAGGCGGGTTTTTCAGCTGGTACTCTAATCGAACGCCCCCATAATGACGGACGTACAGCCGCGTAGTCTAACTTTAAACATCCCATTCTCCGCGTTGCTTTAAGCTACAGTGCGCTTTATGGTGTCAAATGATAGCCCTTGAAATCTAGTATTTTTTGGTACCAAAAGTGTAGTTGGGAAAAATCTAGGAGCTGAGAAAAAAATGATTTTCTAAAAAGATGTTAGCCTACACGACTGTACGAGGGGGTGGGGTTTTATTAGAGGATTTATGGTAGGTTTTTTTGTACTTTGCCAACCTGGAAGCATCGTCCCGAGTTTGGATCTCCACAGTCACGAGTCTCCGTATGCGAATCGTCGCCATTATTGTTTCGTCTCACGTACGATTTAAAGCACATGCGCACATTTGGGCCACAATCGCCTGGAATTAGAATTAGTGCAAATTGCTTACATCGAGATTACTGTGCAATGGGAATTGTATCTAGAAATTCCTCAAAATCAAAATCCTATCTATCATTTTACCACTATGACTTGGCTTGTACTTAGCTGATTTCTCAAAAACTAACTTTCGTTAAACTCTTTAAAACTTACGAACAGACATTCCAAAAGTGTTTCCTTGGACTCCTTGTGAGAAGCCGTTATTTCTATTGGATAAAGTCTGTTGTCCAACGTAGCATTGCACAGCCACCGCCACGCCAATCACCGCCAATAAAAGAAAAATTTGACGAAGCATTTCTAAATCTTTTCTATTTTTAAATTACCGTTGTAGAAATGAGAAAAAAACTAAATGAAAAATGGGAGTCAGGGGTCTTTTTAGATGCCGAGATGGGTTGTTTGCTTCGGAGAACCGTCGGTCAACACCGGAAAAAGAGAAACGGAGACTCACTTTCGGCACTCAAACAGTTCTCTTTTCTTTTTACTGTTTAAAGAATTTGTTTGAAGTGTGTGAATAAAATACAACTCATGATAGAGAGACTTGGTTTGTTGTTGTGTTGACAGCAATTTGAAGAGGTGTTTTGAAATTTCGAGAAGAAGTTTTGCTTCAAATAACAAGAGCAAGAGGAGAAGTTGATTTCAAAAGTACACGGGAAATTGTTTTGGCTTAGAGATGGTTGGCTCTGGTCGACTTGCAAGATTAAACACACGGCCAGAATTGGTCTGTACTTTGAACTTTTAGAAACATCCCTTTTCTAGCAGACTGAATTCTTAGTTTTCTGACGACAGGAAATGGCGATTTTGGAAGAAAGACAAAGGCTGCCTGCGCCAAAGGATGTTCGGATTAAAACACAGAGTAAGGCATAAAGCCCTACCCTGACGGCAATGGGTTGCGTGTTGATGTAGCTCATTAGTAGAGCGTTCGCCCGGTAAGCAAGAGGTCACGGGTTCGGACCCCGGCGCCGACCATGTTTGAATTTCCAGCCCCAACCCATAAAAGGACCGCGGTGTCCAACTACAGAGTACACGTCATCGTATCGTCATCGTATCGTGTTTTGAATCTAGACTATCTGAAGAAACAGATGAAAATTAAAATACACACTATAATAACGACAACGTCAATCTAACCAAAACCAGAGCCCCTTTCAGCCCCTTTCAATTCACCAAACTTTCAAATTTCTAATGCCTTACCTTCAGGTAAGCCATATAAGAATTCTTGCATAAAGTCTAAATCTTAAGTTAAGATTTTTCTTTTTAAATCATTAAATCAAGCCGTCGTAGCGTTATAAATAGGAGCCTTGTCTCCTAGTCGGGGGGTTAAGGGTTCGATCCCACCGGCTAGAAAGCTTGGTTCTTTTTCCCATTATTATGGGTTTTTTTCTTAACAACATTTGGGTAATAGGGGTAATTAGGGGTAAAAAAATTTCCTCCGTTGTGTTGTAATTCATTATTCGTATCGAATAAATATACTTTATTTACCATTACCGCTTTTCTTCAATCTAACAACTATGGACAACTTGAGGAAATCGTAGCTTATGCCTTTGGAAGTCACAAACCACAGCTCATAAAGGTTTTGAATGGAACTTTCTGTCCACAGGGTCATTGAAGCACAAAAATTATAGCTTGAACTCGGAAAAAAAGCTAAAGGCATGCAGTAATTGAATATCTTAAGATATGAAGAAATCACCGAGAAAATTATTTGAAGATTGTGATGTTTCCAGAAAGGTCTCCTTCAACCTCATTTCTTCTCACTCTTTTTTCTTGAGATCATTTCTTTTTCTTTTCTTCCAGCAATCACCATGCTAACACGTCGGGCAAATACCATTTTTCCCCATTGAACAATCTTTATTGAAATGCACAGACGCACACAAAGAAGACCAATAATCAATGCAGTGAACTCTCTTTGTTAACACAATCAACTTTGAGGACTTGTGAGGGGACAAACGGTACAATAAAAGTTTGAGTAAAAGTAACACAAAAAGTTTGTTATGAAGAAGTTTTAGTTTAGTTATTAAGTTTGTTATGAAGAAGTTTAAGTTATTAGCTGCGCAGTAACAATTCCCGTATCTTCTGAATAGCTGAATATCTTCTTTTTGTGGAATCTACAAAGCCAAAGAAGAATCGCTATGTAAATAACCGGTGAAGGGTTCTTCGTAATCGCTCTCCATCTGGCAAATCGCCGTAGTATAAGGTGATTTCCTTTTGGAATCCGTAAAGGAGAAGGAGAGACCAGCAATTTTTTTCCTATTTCGTGTTTTTTATACTTGAAATGACTCAATTTCGCCTAAAAACCCTCCTAAAATATCAATATTTACCGAGCTGATGGACTGAATTTCAGAGAGTCAACTGGAGAAGAAAAGAGTGAAAGAAAATTGACGAAAACTCGAACTTGGATTGGAAACAGAAAAAAAGAAAGAAAGAGGAAAGGGGAAAACTGTTTGTGGAGATCGAACTGGACTTAATTTTTGGTGGGTGAAAAGAGAAAAAGAAGAAGATTCGATTCATCTCATTCAGAGCTTGTAGAAGACGATCCGATCGAGTAATTTAAACCATTCATTTGATCAATTTTGAATCTTTTAAACAAAATTTTCACTTTTTTACACCCAGTGATTCTGAATCATTTTTTGCTTTTTTTTAAAGCCAGTTTAAACCATTTCGAGTATCTTTCTCGTGTCATTTTTGTGCTGTTTAACCCATTTTCAGCCCTTTTTGATTAATTTCGAATTAGTGTATGTGAATGAATGAATGAGTAAAAGACACTAGTGAATGAGTGTCTTTTAAACGCAATTTTGAGTCATTATAAACTTGTTTACTCAATTTCAAGATCGATTTCTGATCAATTCAAGATCAAAAGTTTACGGGTGTAAAACTTTACCTTTGTATCCATTCTACAAGAAAATTTTTCAATCATTCTCTTTCTATCACCCTAACCCTGAGCACTGATCCCCGAAACTTTTTACACTCAGCTAATCTATTTAAAAATTTATTATTGTAGCTTGAAGTTTCGGATTTTTCTACTTGAAAATTCACTTCTTTTTCTTGTTTTTTTATTTACTTCATCTAAAAGCTACAAGTTGGTCCATTTTTTTGCACCAATAGTATTGCCGTGTATTGAATTCTTGGATTTACAACTCCTGACCAATAGCTTCCATTTTCTACTCTCTCCCATTACCATTTTCAATCCATTTTTTGTTTCAAATTCCATCCATTGTTTTATGAGGTTAGTTGAATGAAAAAGATGGACAGTTGATTGCGAAAAGTGCACACGTTTTTGAAGGCGATGACCCGAATTTGGGAAGAAGAAAAAAAGAGGAAAAGAGACATTTTTGGTCAAGCAAAAAGGAAAATCGAAGATTTAGTCGAGATAAAGAAATCGAATGAAACCCCAAAATGAATGAAAAGGATTGCGGGCGAAAAGAATGAGAGAATGGAAATTCGACAGAAGAACACAAATTCGGGCATTTCTCTGCTTTCTCTCAAATCCCTATTGTTTTTTCGCTAACCGGAAAATCGGGGATGTGAGTAAGGAAACGGTTTTTTTGCCTCTTTTTCCTTTTTTGGGGGAAATCCGAGGTGAGATTTGAGTCGTTTTCCTTTTCCATTCGATCGACTTTATTTCTCGGCTTTTACTCCTTTTTCTCTAAAAAACGACCCAATTGTGGTTGACCTCAAAAGGAAAAAAAAATCACATTGAAACAAAATGGGAGTTGGGGAAAAGGGAAAAGATCACCCATTGACCTTATAACGAAAAGGGGAAACTGATTGGTTGATGGAAAAGTGGTTCATCGAAAATATCAAGCATATGGGAGAGTGGAAGAGTTGGGTAAAAGATTGGGGAATACGGCTAATAGGTTATCACCCGTTACCAATGTTTTACTGAAGCCTTGCGCCATGGCCGACTGGCTAGAAGGCCTGTATCTCAGTCGATGGTTCAATCCCGATAGCTGAATTATTTTACTTTTTCTCGAAAAAAGCTTGAAACAGTTAGCATTGGGCTTCTTGATAGATACTTGATAGGTAATAGTACTTGATGATTTACTAAGCCAAGATAAAATATCCAATTTGAATCAACCCCTCTTTTCCTTGATGTACAAGGCTGAGTGGTGAAAGCCTAAAGCCTAATTCATTCATCTTTTTCCATTCCCAATTTCCCTTGACAGTCTCACTTTTTGTGTGTTCAGGGGATTGGCAGGGAACACCAATCCAAGCCGATCTCTCACTCAATTGCCATTTTTTTCCGAAGAAAAAGAAGACAATCTCCATTAATCGATTCATTATTACCCCTTTGAGAACCAATAAAGAAGGAAAGAAAGATTTCTCCAAAAAAGTTCATCACACAGATTTCATTCGCATTCTCGTCAATATAATCCTTTTCCCCTCAAAAAAAATAAAGAAATCAATGAATTTTCTACAAGAAAACTGAAAATACAGGGTGTGCTTCTTTGGCTTTTTTTGATGGCTTCAAAGAAATCGTTGAAAATCAAGCGACATCTCCACCGAAATGCCAGCAGGAACGCACAAAAAAGCTCTCTATGAGCTAAAGGAAAACGTGTTTTTTGATTGTGTGATGGATGGATGAGGATCTACCGTATTCGGTAGATAGATCAAAATAAGATGTGAAATAGAGTTGAACTTCGTTTCATTTAAAGTCGTCTAATTGTCTCTGGCGTACTCGAATCCATTTCAACACCAAGCCGATTTCCGATGAATTCAGTGTGCCAGTAATGCTAACTAAAGCCACATATTATACCAGATAACGAACGTTTACTAGCACAAATACAAGCATGTTAGTGTGCTTGAAAGCGTGCGTTTGTAAAAGAAGAAATTACGGCCAAAGCCGAGCCAGAAATAGAATCTTTGTCAGAGAACGTGTGTTTACAAGAGCACAAAGTGACAAGTACATGAGAGAGCTAGCGTTTATTAGAGCTCAAAGTACAATCCGGATAAACAGTGTGCTAGATCCAGATAACGTGCGTTTCTCAGAGCACAAAGTGCAAGCTTTATTTGGCATTGAGCCATTGAGTTCAAAAGTACAACGAGTGATGGACTCGAGAACGGATCCGATTCAAGGGAAGAGTATAGAGAGAAGGGGTCGTTTGGGAAAAAGAAAAGAAAAGAAAAGACTGAACTTTCTTTTCTCTTCTCTTTTTTCGTTTCAATGTGAACTCCTTTTGGACTAAAAGTTTTCTCTCTTTTTTTTCCGAGAGGAGACTGTTTTCAGTACCCGATACGCGTAATTTTGGTCCTCTACCGGGTTTCTCTTGCTCATTTTCCTTCATTCGCTTTCCCGCGCTCACCACCCAGAAATTTTTAATTCTACTAACGATGTTTTCTATTATTACCTCAACTTTCTTAAACTTTGGTAAGAATTTAATGATTTACTTATAGAAAGATCTTTTAGACAATGGTTGATCTGTTTGTGAAGACTGAATACATCTCTTCGGATGATGAAAATGAAAGTGTTTATGAAAATGACATTCTAAAAAGAAAAGCATTTATTGAAACGTTAAACTCGTTAAATTCACAGAGAATTTACAGGTAAAAGTCTCAAAAGATCTTTTGATTTCAATTTTTAGATGCAACATTTGCCCGTTAACTTTCCATGACACTCAAGATCTCTCTGTTCACATAAAAGGAGCTCATTCAGATGATGTTCTTGGGGAATATTTGAAAGTAGGTTTTGATATGTCTAAGCACAATAAACATAGAAAAACTCTAATCAAAACTCAATTCCATCATTGTTTTCTTGACTTTTCTTGAATTTCTTGGCATTTGAATTCTGAAATCCTGCTTACAATTGAAAAAATACAATTGCCAATTTGTAGAAAATTTCAAAAATCTTCCAAGATCAACGTCAAGAAAGCGAAGGTTGAACAAAGTTTGATTTGAAATTTTCCCTTATACATAAAAAGTTTAAAGCCTTATCCTTTTCAGGGAAGAACTCGTCTCTAGCTTTTTCTATTTCCAACACACAACTTCCCATTTTCCATATAAAATTTTACATTTTCTTGGTACATACATACATTACATTTTAAATTTCACATCCATTTACTCCAAATTTTAGTTAGTGATTGCTCAACAACAGACTCCATCCCTTGTTCCCCGACCGCCACCAAATCCAATACATCGACTTGGACGACGAGGTCATCCATGCTGGAAATTCTTTCACAGAATCGATCGGTGAGTGCCAAAAATTCTTGATTATACATAATTTTTTTTCTAGCTTCGATGCGGTTTGTCTTCTGTGTTCGATTCGCGTTCGATCGGCTTGTTCGACGAATCTCTCGCGGCATTTAACCCGCCATCACCCGATCGAGGCACAACACGTTCGAGAAGCTCAATTCGCGAGAAGAAATCACTCTTTCAATCCCTTACCAACTGATGGATTTGATCAAAGCCTAATCAATTTTGTTCAACAAGATCTGCGTGAAGAGCTGAAGGAATGCTCTTCAAAAAGCTGTAATTCTTTGATGCGAAGGAGACGAGCCTCAGAAACCGTATGCTTTCCAAGAGAGAAAAGGGAGAAAGAAAGGAAAAGAGCGCGATCGGCCCCTCCCCTCTCTGTTCTCCAATCCTTTACATGGATCTCCTCAATCTCATCCACTCGTCCATTTCTCTTGCAAAGGAGAGAAGAAGAAGAAATGGACGGTGATTCCACAATCACCACCACATCCGCCGCCCGACCCGTCGCATTGAGGCCATTGGTGCCCACTCTACCACTATCTTCCCCGTCCACTTGGTGCTCGACTTTACCGGCTTCTGTCTCGGCTGCTTATCAAGAATTGAGGCCGGCCACCCACTCATATGATCTTTTTGTCGATCACTTGCAGCAACACAAATATGAGACACAATTGCCGAAGTATGATTATTCACTGGCTGCTTATGATGGAGTGTCCAAGGTGAGTCGGTTTATGAGATTGGCTAGGGTTGAGCGGGTAAACTGTAACTAAAAACACATTACTAGGAAACTAGAGTAAACTTTGGAAACTTAGTTAGAACTAAATGCTTGATTTTTAGCACTCAACATTGACTTATTCAGGGCGCAAGTCCAGACTTTGCTAGATCTAGCAAAATTTATTAGTTTCACCTCAAAATTCGCAATCTTGGCGGAATAACTTCTTTCAAATTTCATTTTTTTGCTAGTTGTTTGTTTTTTTAGAAACTAGATGCAATTTTGCATTTGCACATATAAAAATGATTTTGATTGGATAATAGATTGACCAGAAAAGCTGGATAGTGGGCGATCAATGTTTAGAATTCTTTTGGTTACTCGTCTGTCATCTAGTCAAAATAATTTTTAGATTTACAAACGCAGAATTGCATGTAGTTTCTCAAAAAACAAACAGCTAGCAAAAATTTTGAATTTGAAAGAAGTTATTCGCATAAACTTCCGAATTTTGATGTGAAACTAGTAAATTTTGCTAGATCTAGTAAATTCTTGTTTTTGATTGCTAACTTGTAAGTGTTTTTGCTTTTTGCTAACTTGTTCATAGCAAACGCTAATTCATCAGTCATGTTAATTGAATCAGTTTTGCTTTTAGGTTTTCGGCGACGATTCGGTGATACTGAAAACGGATGATGTGAAAGCTTTTGACCCTCATCCACACATTCACTCTGTTGTCGTCACACCGATGGCCGCTATTGCTGAGGTAAACTTTCTTGATTTTTTTAACTTCTTCACATTTTCCTAAAAATTAGGATATGCAGCTAATTTTTGAATATCAAAATAAACAAAAACCTTCCAGTTTGCCCATCCATCCCTATGTGCCACCTCGTTCCCATCAAATCTCTCAACCGCTTCCTCTTCCGACGCTTCCTCAGCTCAATCACAACTCGTTCAACAACTCGAACAACATCAGCTACACGGACAATTGAGTCTCAAGTTTTTCTCTCCCTTTTTTCACTTTTTAACCTTGACTTTAGCGGTGACTTGACAAGAGAGCAACTCATCACAAATACCCAACAACAATTGCAACACACTCTCGCTCAACAGCAACACCATCAGATACAATTGCAAGCACCATCAGTTATTGAGACGAGGAAAAGCGCAGAAGTTAATGGAAAGGTTTCGAATATTTCATCTCTATTTTTTTACTTTCTTTTACGAAAAAAAAACGTCTTTGCAACCAGGAAACTCATTTCATTTTTTTCAATTTTAGAAAAATTGATGCATCCAACGGAAAAGCTGTCAATAACAAAAAGATTTTTTAAGAAAAATTCAAGAGAAGTAGATATTATCAATGCATAAGCGATGACTCAATCCTGAGATCGAAACCGTCAAAATTAAGTCAATTTGAAAGGGTCATTTCCGCGCATTTTCGATGCCCCAAGCTCAGATGAAAAGCATTTTCTGTGAAATTTGAGGGTAGCTGTAGAAAAGGTCATAGAATAAGAAAACAATTAAAGATTCGGTTAAATGTCAAAAAATTTTGGCCGCTTGCAAGCAGTGAGCATTGTATAGTAGAAAAGTTTTGGCTGGTACATTGGTTGCGAAATTTTTCTAAAATGTTAAAAATTTCACTAAAAACTTCAAATTAGCTTAATTTTGATATTTCTGATGTGATGTCAAAACAACGTGAAACCAGATGTCTTTTTTTAAACCAGTGACAGCTTTTGCGTTGGATAAATCGATTTTTCTAAAATGAGTTTTACGTAAAAAAATGAGTTTCCTGGTTGAAAGACTCTAAAAAATGTAAATCGATTCGTAATAAAAGTGCTCAAAAAATGCTGTTTGTGAGTTTTTCAAATTGACTGAATGGCTCTCAAGATCTATGTTAAGTCCGAAACCGAACTAAATTCTTGATCGCGCCACTTTGCGTGCCTGTATCTCCAAAACTAGTGGGCCGATTTTGATGATTTTAGTGTCATTTTGTAGAGCAAAACTTATAGATTCTTAACGTGAAGTTACATCTGGAAAAATTCATTTAAAGATTTCAAAAATATGAAATTAGTTCGAATTCGGACGCCTAAAAAGGTTACTTCGGATTCGGACGTCCGAATCCGCACTATAATTTCATATTTTGTTATTAAATTAACTTTTTCCATATATTGCTTCACTTTAAGAATCTACATGCTTTACGAAATAAGCTGTTAAACGTTATTTTTGGTTCACATTTGAGACACTAAAAAAATAGCTTAGAAAAGTGTCAAAAAATGTCGGTTTTTTTCGTCTAATAAAAAAGTTTTGCTAAACAAAATCCCATGTATTACAGTTTACATTATAGAGAATTCTTTTTTGCATCGAATGGTATCAAAATTTGTAAAAAAAATATTGATTTTTCGGAATTTTATGCAATTCGTTCGGATTCGGACGTAACATATAGACTCTCAAAGTGGGAGGTGTTTAAAAAAAAACAAGTTTCATACGTTGCACGCTTACCTTAAACAAGTGTCTAAAGTTTCAGTCTTAAATTCAAATTAAAAATCCCCACCAAAATCTTTGATCACAGAGTTTTCAGGGTGACGGAGCAACCCCAGCTAAACGAGGAAGACCGACCGAGAATCCCTGTTGGAACTATTTCATTCGTTTAGACGATCAAAATGTTCGATGTCGAATTTGTAGCAAGGTTCGGATTCTGAATTTGAAATTGTTATCTTGAATTTGAAATCTACTTTTAAACTAATATTGTTTTTAAATTGTTTCGCCTAACAATTGAAAGACTCGCCCAAACACACAACATAAGATTTCAGGTGGTGAAATCGGCTTGCGCCACAAACATGACGAAACACTTGGAGCGGCATCATCAAAACGATTATCAACACCTCATCGTGCAAATCAAACAGTACAGGTAGATGGAAAAATTTGTGGATTTTGATCGATTTGTAAAGCTTCAGACAGCAAAAAGTCCCGCAATCGGTTCTCCCGTTGACTTCAACACATCAAGGATGCATTTTACCGACTCCCGGGCATTTCGTAAAGGTTTGTTTGGGTGGAATTAATTGTTGTTAACAATGTTAATCTAAACTTGGACCTTCTTTTACACATTGCGCTTTCTAAAACGTGTCAGTTTTCGAAAATCGCCGTAGTCTTTCTTAATTTTTATTATTCCCTCACAGGATCAGACGAAAAAAAGTTACGATAGTTTTCGAGAACGCATTTTAGTCTAAAATTAATGATAAAAGTTGAAATTTTAGTCTGAATCTCCGTACGTTCACGATATTTATTCTCAACAATTCGATTGTCACGAATCTCTTTTGAGAAATTATGTCATGGACACTTCCGGGCATCAGGTATCAGAAATTATGTCAACAAAAGATATTCAAAAGTTGTTAGCTAAATAGTTTTTTAAGGATTGTAATGAATATTGTACTTTTTTGTATCATACTTATCGTTCTAAAGCTTTGATAAAGTTTCACTACATGGATTCAGTATTCTGAATACTTTCTAAACCGATTACTATAGTGAATTTTTACATGCACTGTATTCCTAATGACTCATCGATTCAGGTTGTTTGGCCAAGAAGCTCATCAGCCGGCTCGCGCACATGGAGTTCTTTTGACACATGGAATTCCCATGACGCCACCACATCAGCGATGGGGGACGGTTGGTTGTAAAAAATAGCACAAGTTTAAAATGATCGACAGATTTAGCGTGGAGTCAATCACTCGTCCCAAATGATCCCACACAACCGCTTTCCGGTGATAAACCCTATCTAAAAAGGAATCGAAAGACCGAGCACCCTGTTTGGGAGTTCTTCAAGGTTTGTCCGCTTTTACGATTACAGTACTTCTGTCTAGAGTGTGTTCCTGGATTTTCTAAAACGTTTCAATTTCCGAAAAGCTAAAGTTTAACTTCTGTAAAGAAATGAATGGGAAAGAATTTGGAACCGAGGGGGAATTGAACCCTCTGGTCGACCCTTCTGCTTATCGGGCAGATGCTCTACCACTGAGCTACCGGCGCCTCTTTTGCCCAAGAAGAAATAAGAAAGATAAGGAAGAAGAAAGAGAGTGAATAAGTCAAGTGAAGTCAAACAAGAGGCAGATCAGAGCCAGGCTAGAATCCAAGGCTGGAGGGCTGCTATCCGGCCCAGCCAAATAGAAAACCAAGTCAAGCTTTGGCTTATGGCTGGCCAAAATGCTTCGTGGATCAAGCCAGGTCAAAATTAGTATTGAAACTGCAAAGATAACGGCAGTTTTCAAATGTTATCCCGTTTTAGAAAACGCATGTTTCTGGCTACCGTATGTCAAAGTTTAGACAATGAATAGAATTTCAGCGAACTGTCGACGGGAATGCTCAATGTGCAATTTGTGGTGGAGTTGTCAAATCGCCGTGTTCCTCGAATTTCATGCGACATTTGATGCGGCATCACTCTGCTGAATATAACGCTGTTTATGTGAAATGGGTACAAAAGAGGGCACCGCTTAAATAGAGCAATATAGTTTTATTTTCAAATCTTTCACTGAATATCCAGTCTTTCAGATATTATTATTTCTTTCTATGCACTTGTCTTGGCACAATTTCTAAACGGGTAGCAAGTTCTTCATTTATTTCTTCTACTGAACCTCCTTTGAATTGCCATAAAAACTGATGCACACCTCTCTTTCGTTTTTTCTCTTTGTAAATATTGTCTTGAGAATGGAAATTAAATAAAGGATATAGATTGAAGTGGGACAAGAGAATGAGAATGGACATGGGAGACGTCAGGCCAGTGACCAATTGCATGGCATCTTCAATATATTCAAACTACAGTGATTAAATCAAGTTGTCGAGCAAATTTAAGTCAAAAGTAAAAGCTTGTGCAGAGTTAACACTCTATCGGTCGTTAAGAACGAGGAATAAACCGGGATTTCATATTTACTTAATGCTTAAAAAGTTAAACAACCAAAATCCATCAATCCACTACGGTTCTTCTCGGAAATCCGGGTCGGAAAAATACGTATTAAAAGATGAAATCAGCCTTTTTCGGTTTTTCAGTTAACTCAAGATTTCCAAGAAGAACGCTTTTTCTCTTTTCATTTCTTTGACCTAGATTCTGAATTTTGGATTTAGGGAGGAAGGCAGCTAATTTTGCATTACTATTGTTGCACTTGATTTCAAATTGAGTTTGAATTTTTGTTGAAAGCCGTTAGAAAGAGCCATGGCAAAGTTTGCTCTTGGGCAGATTATCGTTGATCAGCGAAAGCTTGAAAATGAGATGGAAATTGAAAAATCTGAATTGAGACGCGTGAGAAAATGGCATGCGGTAGCAGAAAAGAGATTGGATAGATTTGGGGGAAGGGGGAGAAGAAGGGATCGACCCCCGACCCGCTTCTCATTTGAGAGAGGATTTCCCTGATAAGCCTTCTCGACACAAATCACTCAATCACTTCAATGAAAAAATCCCATCAAGTTTTTTGATTTCTTGAATTTCATAAATCATATCATGATAGTAAACAAATAATCGTTTTTTTTGGTTTTATATTTTTATATTTTGATTTTAAACTTTTGCTTACAGACGGTCCAGGTTTGTACTACTTGATACCCTAAACTTTAGTTGATTAGTAAGTATGGATTTTGTTGGCAGATACATATAGATATAAGTAAGGATCAGATCGATTTCAGTGTGGTTTATTGATAGAGCTTTTACCCGGAAAGCAAGAGTCACGGGTTCAAATCCCGGCGCTGACTTTGCTTTGGATTCCAATCCCCAGCTCTGCCTCCCCCTGATTGGAGCTCTTCAATTTTCTTATAGAAACTGTTTTTCTTGACCTGGACTCAGATTTTGAATCTCTCTTGCTAATCTATTTTTCAAACCAATTGAACTTTTTATTTGCAAAGGATAAGCAATAGAATGTACAGCTTTATCTTCTCTGCAAAAAGGTCAAAATCCAGAATCGATCCGGTCAGAAACAGTCATTTTTTCCAGAAAATTTCTCGAAATTCTTTCCATTCAGTAGAAATGTGCCCAAGATAAGACGGCAGAAATACTCGTGTTAATTGATAGCCGCTTTTTCCCTTTTTTGTGCTATGTTTGCAAATATTTGTGTTGAATTTTCCGTAAAACTTGATGAGCAGAAAGAAATTTAGAGCTGGCCAAGAAATTGGGCAATTTAAGACGAGAAGAAGACGAGGAAGAACAAATCGATCAAATCGATCAACTCTGCCTCTCAATCCCCTCAATGCTGGCCGAATGCGGTGGGGTTTTGTCAAAATGTAGATTCTGTAACTTAGAAATATTCAGCTAATTTGCAGTTACCCTAAAGTCGCGAGTATAAGTTCTGTTTGGTTTTCGCATGCAAATTGACGGCTGTCTCCGGTGCGGTGTGTCGAAGGTTCAAATCCCGCTGCAGCATAACTTTTTTTGCTTTTTAAGAACAATAATAGAAGTAAATTTATTGAGGGTTATAGCAATTTTATGCTGTTATTTGTTGCTCCGGGCGTGGCTCGGCGCGTCCGCCCTGCTCCTCTCCGGTGCTCAGTCTTATGGATCCCTCCCTGGCCTCTTCATCCGGCCAAAGTCCACGTCGACGGTCGAAAGAGATGCTTTCCAGCGTCTTCTTCAACACTATCGTCTGGATGTATCCATGCACATAACAAATAGCAATGGTGATAGGCTGTCACCCTGTAATATCCCGCGCTCCAAGAACAATAATAAAAGTTTATATAACAATAAAAATGTATAAAAACCCAACAAAAAGAAATTCAAAGCAATTAAAGCGAATGTAAATTAAGGCAGAACTTATACTCGGATGAACTTATACTCGAGACTTTAGTGTAGTTGAAACGTATCTTACTTAGAACAGGGTTATTTCAAAAGCAATTGTTTCGGTCTATGTTTTTGACCTTACCTGGCCTGGCTTTTCTGCAGGTTGGGTCACAAAATCTACTTAGGCAACCAGAAATCAAATCTGGACTGGTTTTTAGCTCCTAGGACCCTGAGTGTTAGACAATTTTAATTAAATCCTCTTCAGATTGCCATTTCTCTCAATTTTCGTTCTATTGGCCGCACCGGTAGTGTTGGGCTCATCAATGATAACAACCGAAAAAGAAATAACATCAACAACAGCAACAACAACTACTACTACCACAACTCAAAGCTTTACCTCTACCTCTATTGATTCGAATCAAGGTTTGAATCAGTTTTTAGCAAGCCTGTAATCATTTCTTATTCAAAAATAATCTTCAGATTCGTCAACAACTGCCTGTGTTCCCACCGATTTCTACTATTCGGCAATCTCATTTTATTGTACAATTTGCTTCAAGATGACGACAATGGTGCTCAATAATTATTCTATTGTAAGTGAAAGAATGAAAGCTCTTGTAGCTAGAAGAATGAATGGAGATTTTCTTTTTCGTTTTCTATTTGAAAAGAAATCTATTAACGAAAACTATTGTAATCAAACCGTTCATTTACATCCGATTTTGACGATTTTGACAATTTTGACATCATTCAATGATCATCTTCAACCAAAATACCAATTTAGACGGATGCTTCCACGTATTTTAAAACGGTTTATTGCCCCAAAGTGGGACTTTTCAAGAAAAGATGCCTTAAAGCAGTTCAAAGTTTACTCGATCCATTGAGGACACAACTTGCGCCTGAATGTGAAGTACGTTTTGAATGAAATGAAAATTTGGATTTAAAAGCTTTTAGGGAGAATCCGTAGAAACGACGGTCTCATTTTTTTGCCAAAATGTTGTTGGAATGTGCTATTTGCAAGATAATTCTTATGATTGTCCCTCATATGTGCTGGGGATTCCAAATCTGAAAGATCAGGTTGATGAAATATTTATAAAAGTAAAGAAAAAGATTTAGATAGTGCAGCGACAACACGATGAACTGTAGACAAGGATATCTTTATCACCTTTTCTAGAATTGCTCCACTTTTTAGAAGACATTATGATTTAGGTACAGTAGTTTTTGTTGTCTTTTGCCTACAATATGCTTGAATTGAGTACTTTTTAAATATCCTATTTCAGTCCGCCAAGGTTGGCCCGTTTGACTGACTGGATAGTAAAGGCTTTTGAAAATATTCGGCTTAACGATCAAAGCATACTGTAGGCTGAAGTGTAATTGTACTGTAACTATGCTGAATACTAAAGAGACAAAGGCATACGGTAGATAAACGACTGCTGTACTCTAAAGGGTGTCTCAAAATTATTGCAACAATTATTCTTGCTTGTCTTTCTCTCTCGTTGCCCCAATTGAAATGATTTTTGTATCAATCAACAGAAGAAAACATGACGAATCTAATGATACCTAAACTATTTCAATCGGACGACTGAGCGTCAAGATATTTGAGTTTAAAGTTAGACTGTCAATGGAAGAAAAAGCGAGCTATTTAGTCGATCTTTCTAAGTCTAATGTAAAAATTGTTGTCTCAAGATTTGGCTACAATACTTTAGACAAGCAACAGAAAATCTTTCATTCTAAAACGTGGACAATTTATATATGAACATTTCCTCTTTTTCTGGGAGTGGGACAAATGCGACCTTTTTTTTGCGCACCCGGACATTTGCGCACCTTTTTTTCCGCACCTTGCCCATTAGCGCACCTTTTTTCGCGTTTTAAAAAAGCTCTAAAAAGCTAATATTAACCAATTTCTATTCCAAATGTTGTTTTTCTAGGTAATTTGAGGGTGTCGAATTCAAATTTAGACATAACAGAGCGTGTGGAACCAATTTGAAAGACAAAACGGCTAGGTCAAATTACAGAAAATTGTCGATTTTTCTCTTTGTATAACACCGTCCGTTTGTTTCCACAAGCTCTGATATGTCAAAATTTCGATTCTACGCCCTCAAATTACCTAGAAAAACAACTTTTGGAATAGAAATTGGTTAATATTAGCTTTTTAGAGCTTTTTTAAAACGCGAAAAAGGTGCGGTGCGCAAAAGGGACGGGTTAATGGGGAAGGAAAAAAAAAAGGTGCGCAAATGTCCGGGTGCGCAAAAAAAGGTCGCATTTGCCCCACTCCCCTTTTTCTTTTCTTCTTGGTCTCATTTCTGCCTCACTCATTCCTCGATCTCATCTCATTTTTTTCTGCTTTTCACAGGGTTTTCTAATAAAATTAAAGAGTTCTTTTATAAATAAATGATATTTTTTACAAAAAAAAGCCTCTCTACCCGGAACCAAAATATAAACATGTTCAAATGGAAATAACAAAAAAGAAAAGAAAAATTCATTCACACATAGATAAAGACTCTAATAGACTGGGGTTCTCATTCACAGATCTGTTCCTCCAGAAAAAGATTAGCATTCCAAATCTTCCCGGGAAATGAATTTGAAATCGAATCTTTTCTTCTTGATTGTTCTATTTATTTCGGCCATAATTCCACTCAACGAAGCCTATCCGAGGTGATTTTGGAATGTAGCATAAATCCCGAGAAAAAGATACATAGACTCAATAAAATGAATAGCTCCAATCGATTCCCTGACCCCAAAAACCTGGGGTACAAGTTTACAGCTGAATATTTTTTTGTAGCATCTACAAATCTCTATAGAACAATCTCTATGTAAATAGAGGAAAAGAGCAGTGAACGACCGAGCCGACCCTGTCCCTTTTGACGTCACTATGCCCAAACTGGACGAATTTCCGCTTAAAATTGGCGACTTGGCGCCTGGACACTCCCGGACGGACGAGAGCCAAACCCTGCGAAAATTCCCTGCCCCAAATTTGGCTGTATTCCCGCAACAAATTCTACATCCCCGTTAAACCATTGTATTAGTTAAACTGAGAATAATGCGGTCCGATCCGAGCGCCATGTTTCCTAATTTTTTTAGGATCAGTCCAATGAAATTCTTAATCAAAAACTCAAAACTCATTCAGATCAACTCGCGACCGTGTCTTCTCAAAATACACTCGACACTGTCTTTTCACTCATTTCAATTGTTTTCGCTCGGTGAATGCAAATTTGAAGTGATTGTGATTGCGTTGTTTTGTTGTTGAGTTGTGTAAGAAATATATGTTGATGTTTTGATCTATATAATTTCTTGTGAGAATGTTTTCTGATTAAATAGGGTCTTCTTTAAAAAAATAATTACCAACCTTCCCTTATTAGGGAAACTTGTCAAAACGGGGCAACTTGGCACTATCACAAAAAAAAAAAAAAATAAAAAAAGGAAAGTAAAAAAAAAAAAAAAAGAAGAACAAAAACCCCAAAAAACAAAAAAAAAAGAAAAAGGGTTTTAAATATACAAGCTACAAACAGCAGAGAGACGAATAATATAATTATCAAAGAAATTATAAATTCAGCTTTTAATTTTTTGTATTAAATTAGATAGGGGTTGGTCCACAAGTTGATTGTTGAGTTGTGATTGCGTGCGGAAAGAGATTTATCATGTTATTTGAATTTCCAATAAAATGAAGAAGCGTCTAGAATTTTCAGTCAGTCCCTAAACTTTCAAAGGTGGCGAAAATCTGGAATAGAAAACCATTCGAAGTGAGTGTGCGTAATAAAAAAAGGGGAAAAGGGCCGCACCCAAGGAGTTGTAAGGAGGGGAAAGAGAGGGGTCTTTCTACTCATTCACTCACACAACACGTTTTAATGAGTATTTGATAACGAGTGAAAATGGCCGAATTGAATCGACTTCAAACGATCTTTTTTCCTTTTTTTTGGGAAAGAAGAGACTTCTCTTTTCCTTTTCTGATTCTCACATCATTCTTTGAAAAGAATCGACTCTGGATCCATCAATGAAGGGATTTCTTCTCGTTTTTGCCCTCGGTTGGTTGATTATCGAATTTGAATAACTTTTTTCAAAATGGTTACTGTAAAAATACTTGTAAAAAACTTGAAATTTTGTTAGTTTGAAATTTCTATGGTACATAATACTATAAAAGCTTACTGTAGAATTTTGTTTAGTCTAGGTATAAACGGAAAACTTTATTCGGCGGTAAAGTTAGTGTAGCCTCTGTGAATCTTACTGTATCGGGACTTTAAAAATCTTTTGCATTACTTACAGAAGGCACTTACGTCGTACACCATTTTTACAAAACAATTTGAGTGGGTACCTTCTTGCCACTCAAAACCCCTCCATCCGAGTCATCGACATCGTCTGATCTCGCGGCTGCCATTCGCAGTGCTTTTTGGCGCAAAGAATCGGTCTCCAAAACACAACTGTAAGCTGGTTAAATCTTAAACTTCAAAACCGAATCAACAACCTTTTTAGGGAATCCGGGAAAGACTACACGATTCTCAACTATTTCCTCCTTAATCAATGGGGGCAAAACCCCGGATCGACACAGAATATTTCCCAACTGTTGCAAGTTTGAACATTTAGACGCGTTTTTGTCGAAAAAATCCTTTAGTGCATTGGATGTTTTCTATGGAATGTTGTATCCAAAGGGGAATTACTTTTCATTATTTCCTCTTAAAAATCTTCTTAGGATTTGCGATAACTGAACAGAGAATTGCTTAAGGTTCACATTGGAGTTTGAGATTACGGCCTTAGCCTTCCTAAGCCACCTTTGAAATTTTTAAAAATAAGATATTTAAGAGAGTCACTTGGAATGTACGCTTGTGAATTTCAGGGAGCCGATCCAACTCAGCCTTCAGTATTCCAAATACATTCCTCTGAGCAATACTGGTTCAATTGTGGAGCCGGATTGACAAGTTTTTTTGAGAAAAAAAGGCAGCCAGTTTCTGGAGTGTTCAGCTCTTCTCCATGAGAATTTTCCATGTGTGCAAAGATTTGTGGCTGGATATCAGGAATGGGCTGAAGAATTGCCTCACCTCGTTCACTCTCACGTACTCCATGATCCAATCCAATAAACTTAGTTATAGTGAGTGGACTTGAAAATTGTTTTAAATTTTCCCAACAAATATATCTAAAGGAAACGCAATCTATTTCCAAATTTTCTCCAACGGGCAAATCCACTTGCAGATACCTGACTCAATGGGAGAACTGCTTCCTCGGCGCCATTCAACACCCTATTTGTCGATCAACAGCCCCTGCCGATACTTGGTGGGCGGGTGAGAGCGCGCGGCGTTTCGGAATCAATCGAGCAGCAATCAATTGTGTCAACTCGTGTGATTGTTCGTCGTTTATTGGAAATTTTCAAAAAATCTTTTAGATGCAAATATTGACCCCCGAGAGCAGCCGAGCATTTGGCTGAACATCACAAGGTAGTGAATTGGATCAAGTAATCAGTCTAGTTAAAATAGTAGACTTTGAATACGAAGATGGACTGGGCACGGTTAGGCTCACTTTGAATACGAATTCACCTCTTGGACCTAAAAAACAATATGACCCAATGTTCAAGATAGAATCACAATACGCATCTCACTACAGTATTCTGCACTGAAAACTGGTTTCTCTTCAAGTTCTCCAAAAGATTTTCAACCTTGAACTCACTGGATACTTTTATGCAGCATACTGTAGTGAGACAAGAAATAGAGACTTTACAGTACCATTTAATCATTGGTCTAAAGTTAATTAGCTAAACAAAAACTGGGTTCCTGGATCAATACTATCTCTTTCAAAATAAAATCAATTCAGATTGATGAGACCGGCACTCATCTGTTTAAGATTCCTGACTACTGGGATATGGTTATTGATGGAGTTGTGGTAAGGTTATGAAACGATTTGAAACCACTGGATACGCTCAAAAACATTTAGAAAACGCTGGTGAAAGGAGCTTGGATGAAGGATTAACAAATTTACACGCATCACTCAAAAATTGCTGATTGCTGATCGTTCCGAAAATAAATTTTTCTCTCCATCACACGCACACAGTTAACAACTTTGTACTGCCTATTAACATTTGTGACAAGAGCCAAAGAATAGCTAATGAGAACAATTTACATTTTAAAAAATTGAATACAAAAATTTACATATCAATCGAGACTTAGAAAAGTGAAACAAAAAATTTTTTTCATTTCTCTTCCATTCACTTCATTGATCGTTTGGACGCTTGTAGAGGTGAATATTTTTGAGTTGTAAATGTTCTAGATTTTAATTTTGTTTCGTCTTTTTAAATCAACAACTTGTATATGTCGTAGCCGATTATGAATTTCAACCGATTATGAATGTAGTGAGTCTAGAAGCGTCCAACCATCAAAGTTATTTAGTATCATTCAACGCCAGAATCATTAATAATTATGTTAAATTTTTTAATTAGAAAGTTTGGATAAAAGAAAAAAATTATGGGGCCTCCGAGTTTCCTCTTGGAACAAACAGTTTTTTTGCTCTAATTTTTTTCTTTTTATCGAATCTTTTCCATTTTACCACATTTCATATATTATGAATGATTCTACGTTCGACCCCCCATAATACTGTCTCATCTTTGATCCTTACGGCGCATCTAGGCGTTCCCCCATCTTCATAATCGGCTCTACGGGACCCCCTGATTTTGGATGAAACGTTGTAGCGCCCACAATTTTAACCTAAACTCCAAAAATTTGAAGTACCAATCGACGCAGAATTTATTCGCTACAAGATGATATATTATTGTCCTCATACATTAAAAGGGTTCCTCTACTAGAAAGATTTACCAAAAAATTTCATTCATAATCGGCTACGACATATATTTTCTAGTCAAATGGCCACCAATGTTACATTGTTAAAAGAAGAGCCCTTGGGAGATCAAGCCAAAGAACAATTGGAAACTCTTGAGGTTTTTTTCATTCTTATATTTTAAGCTTTCATTTTCTTTAGGTCGAGCCTACCGCTAAGCAACTTGACATGACACGCTTCAGGGTGAAGAAAATCGAGGGACTCGAGTTCTTGGAACAGGTTTCTTGAGTTGAAATTTTTTAAATTAAAAATCTTCTTTAGTTGGAGTATTTGTGCCTCCGTTGGAATTTGATCAAACGCATCGAGAATCTACACATGCTCACCACTCTCACCGAACTCGACCTATACGACAATCAAGTAAGCATTGCTTGTTTTATTAAAACTTATTTATTAAACTTTAACGTAAATTTTTATTTAGATTGAAAAGATCGAGGGACTTGAGACTTTGGTCAATCTGCATACTCTGGATTTGTCTTTCAATCGGATTCAAAAAATTGAAGGTTTGTAGTATTAATGTCTTTTCATATTAGATAATGATAAGGTTTTTGTTTTAGGTCTCAAGACTTTGGTCAATCTCCACACTCTTTACCTTGTTCACAACAAACTATCAAAGATTGAAGGTCTTGAAAATGTAAGTTTTGCTTTTTTTATTAAGTTATCAGCTTTTTTAGTTGGAAGCACTTGAGTACCTTGAATTGGGAGACAATCGCATTAAAAAGATCGAGAATCTCGACAACAATGTCAACATTCGGCGTCTCTTCCTTGGCGCTAATCAGATTCGAAAGGTTATCATTGCTCAGCTAAATCTGTAGCTTTTTGTTTAGGTTGAGAACATTGGCCAATTACAAAAGCTTGACGTGCTTTCAATGCCTGCAAATATCATTTTAAAGATTGAGGTGAAGCTAAAGATTTAAAAAGGTTCATAAATTTTTTTAAGGGTTTGGACGAGCTTCCTCATTTGAAAGAGCTTTACTTCTCGCAAAACGGCATTCAGTGCATCGAAGGTCTCGAAAAGCTTCAAGATCTCGAGATTCTTGATCTCAATCATAACAGGTAGGGGTTTTTACAGCTGCAGTTGTGCAAAATGATTGTTTAGGCTCAAAGAAGCTCGAGGATTTGCTCATCTCCAAAAACTTACCGACTTCTGGGCAAAGATGAACAAGGTTTCTTTATTATCGTATTTAGTTTTTATTCGTGCTTTTAGCTTGAAGATTGGTCGGTTGTGGATGAAGAGTTGGTGCATTTGCCAAACCTCCGCCTCGTTTACCTCGAAGAAAATCCATTCTCCAAAGATAAAGTCAGCAATTTTGCCATGCATAATATAACCATTACTTTTTAGAATTACCGTGCTCGTGCCATTCAATCTCTTTCTACAATCACTCGACTCGATTCGGACTTTTGTCGCAAGTACGTCTCAGTTTTTATTTTAATATTTGTTTCTTATGCCTGTTTAAACTCTTGATATTTAGGGAATCGGATGTCGTCAAGATTTAGACCGATCGACGGATTTCAATGAACTTACAAGGCCTAAAGTAAATTTCTTTACTGGACGCATGTGCTTTCTTTTCTAAAAAATTTTAAGGTCTGTAATAATAAATTGTTCAAATGAATTTTTTCACGTTAAAATGCCCTAAGTAGGACAATTAATGAGTCAATTGTCGAACATAATGACATCAAAGAAACTCCAGCTCTTAAAAGTGAGCAAAAACTTTTGGAATTACGTCTTATTCTGTGGGCCATTCATGAAGAAATTTTAATCAATCCAAGTCTCATACTGGGCACATATAACAGGACGGGAGAACAGTTCCTTGAAAGCTATCACCGTGCAAATCGATGATTCCTCTTTGACTGATTGACGATAAAATTCGTTTTTGAAAGAGAATTCACATTATAAAATGAAAATCCAAAGGGGTTCGCATGGAGTAACACGATTTCGATGCTTCCACTTTCCATGCCAAGAAAAATCCGATCAGTGCGTTTATTGAAAGAAACTTGAGTCAAGCGAATGAAATTCTGCAACAATTCGATCAGCTCACTTGCTACACGCTTTTTGTTTCCTATTTTTCTCTAATATATTTACACCATCGGAAAGTGCATGGATTCAAGAATGTTTGGAGAAACGAGTGGCAAATTCTCCATTTTTTGGTTTCGATAACTCTCTAGGAATTTACTACCAAACATTGAAAAGAATCAATTTTGAAGTATTCGCTCGATGCAACACGATTTTCAAAGTTTCGTTGAAACAGTGCAATTGATGGTTTAGTTCGGAATCCCAAGTCAATGAAGATGTGAAAATGATATCAGTTCTAGTTAATTTTTGCAATTTTCTATTTTAATCCGTTTGAGCGATAAGAAAGTCTCAAAAAATTAATGTTTCAAATTTTACAGGTAGCCTTCCTAGAGAAATTTGACGCAAAAGAAAATGTGAACGACTGCTTCGAGCAAGTGAACAGTCGATTCGTTGTGGCGCTCTTCGAAAAGCACCTAACAGAAACTAAAATGAATTGCTAATTTGGATTGCTTGTTTGCGGTTCTTCTTTGTTCTTTTGTGCAATTAATATCAAATATCCCCTTGAAGTGATGAGATTTACAGACTTTCTGGTAGCGTATCAGTCAGCAAGGTTATTGGTAATGCTATAAATTGTTTGGTTAAATCCTTTCACGCTAAAATGTTCTACATGGTATGTTAGAATGTGTAATATTAAATTTTTGCAGATGCAACATTTATTGGAATTATCGATGGACATTGTATGGATTGGGCGGAGACTGCAAAGAAAAAGAAAAACAAGTTTTTCCTCACAGTCTCCGCCCGGAGATGGTAATCATAAAGAAATGGGGCACCCAAGGTGGCTGCAAAATTGAGGGCCAAGCTAAAATAGGATCATGGAAAACAGTGAAAAGGGCAATGTGGACAGGATTTGGCTGTAGTTTAAGTGAAAAGTTGTATGAGTGGGATGGATTTAAATCCACCGCGCATCCGTCATCATCCAGTTTCCCGACGAGTCCTAATTGATTGATAGTTTATGTTATTAGACTCTTCTTTACCATATCCCAATGAGCCGGCAGAAGGAACTCCTTTTCGCCGTCAGCTCCATCGCGAATCATATGAGAGAAGTCTCGAGCAGCCGACGTGGCTTCTACACTCATAGTCATTATTTCTTTCTATACATGGGCCTTTTGTAGAAAATGAGTCAGTCTCACGTTTTAGCAAACAGCTCTTGTTTTCTAAAGCTCGAAATAGCATTGTATCCACACTTTAGAAGCTGCTTGCTGTTTGCAAACGAGCTGTTTGCTAAAACGTGGAACTGACTCGTTTTCTACAAAAAGTCCACGTCTATTTCTTTCAATTCAACTCGGAAACCAACTTGGACACGTGATCACATGCTGGCAATGGGTGAATTGAGAGAAGACATAGTTTCGTGTCATCTCACACGAATACCATTGAGCGTGACCCTGAAGAATTTATCTGTATTTTTCTTTTTTTCTTTACTTGGTATGGAAGGCACGGTCCAGCGCTGTAGATCCCCGAGATTCCATTCACCAAGCTTTGTCCATATCTGAAAAATCGTCAAAATTTCTTGGAGGCTAATCTTTGACTCACGTGCAAGCACTGTTCGGATCATGGGTGACGTTGAGTTCGTAGGATCGATAGAATTGCTGAATCTGCGCGTCATAGTTGACAGTGACTCTTTGAAGGCACGAGGTCACATTCGGGTTACCGGCGAGCGCTGAAATTGGGTTGATTGGCGTGCTTTGGAGATTTGCAACAAACAATTGAATCCGGGTCCACATTGGAAAAGAAGTGACGAGATCATTCCGTCGAAAGCGAAAGCGGTTGCCGGAGATCGTCCCCTTCCCACCCATCCAATCGGCCCCAAACAAGCGTTCAGATTTCTCCGCGCCAAGCATTGATAGAAAAGGGCAAGTCCGCTGAAATTGGGTATTTGGTGCCCGGTTTTAAACTTTTAAATTTACTTGCAAACTTTGACGAGATTGCTCAACTCGTATGGGGCCAAGAAGCGCTGATTGATCGTTTCAGCGAATAGAGACGGCGTTTCCCAGATAGCATTTGGACTGCAAGTGATTTCCAGGATAAATTTTAATCTCTTACACTTACTCAGCTCCCCAAAAGTCCCCTAGACCAACAGTGCAAGCCTGGAAACGAATTCCATCACAAGTGTCCGGTTGGCCTTGTTGAGCATAGATTACACCAAAAAGGGCTATAATGATTAAAATACAAAAAATATCAATATTAAAATCAAACCTGCAATTCCTAAAATAGCTCTCATCATCGATCGAGCCAAGAAAAATTAGGAAAGACTTTTTGGCCAATAAAAGCCTTCTCTCTTTGTCCCTCTTGTATTCATTCAAACCCCCCATTTTTCCAGTTATCAACAAGTCGCAAAAATTTAATGACCTTGCGGCGCTCTCCACGTTTTACGCGTACACACCCATTTTCCCTTCCTACTCATCGAATGATGTGTGAAGAAAAAACAGAACATTTATTCGTTTATGCATTCATAGTAAGCTTTCTGATCAAATAGACGGCAAATATACGAGATTCTAGATGAGACCAAAGAAAACGAAACGAAGTTTTTTCAAGGAAAATAATTCTAGGTGGGATGATTGTGGTTAAAAGGGCGGCGAGTGAAGATCCTCGTTTAACGATCGGCACTCTTCATGTTGTCCGCCGCCTCCTCGGTCTTCATGCGATCTAAAGTTGGTATTTACTTAATAGTACTTATTTATTGACATGAACTTTAATAAAAAGCATAGTAAATAAACGTTAAAGTAATACCTGGTGCTTGATCAAGTGTGTCTTCTTCTGCGCAACCCTCCTCATAGTTATTCACGCTGGTCTCAGTGAACACTGACTCGTCAACATCTCTGTTCGTATCGTTGTCTCCTCCCTATAAATGGAATTTACCAGTGCAAACCATATTAGCCTACCCTATCTTTTTCAGCAGCATCCTTGATAGACAAGTCCAGCTTATCCTTGCTTTGCTTTTTCTCGTTTTTGCTGATTTTGTCCCAATCGTAGTCATCAGTCCTAAAAATTCAAATAAGAAAAAATTGTGAGTACAAACATTTTCACGTTTAGATCCTTGATGTTTTTGGCAAGAGCAGTCCGAATCTTTTCGTATGGAGGAGTGTCAGTATAGTTGAGTTTCTTCAACATTGAAATCCATTCAGCAAATGAGCTTGGGCAGTCCTAAATGGGATGTTTTCTTTGAAATAAAATTTTCTCTAACCTTCATCAAAACAGCGTCGGAAGTTCTTTGCTTACATTTTGCAGAATCAACTCGTGCCAATCCTTTCCATGGAAGTGTTCCAGTCTACAGAATGAACAAGTCAAGATGAGTTTATCGAAAGTAAACCGTTGTTTCGATCATTGTGTAGAGGAGTCCATAAAGATCATCGTGACGTCCCTGTTCTTTTCCCGCATGCACATTCACCGAGCAGTAACGAACGGTGCCACGAAAAGATACCTAAACAAATAATATTCTTAAAAGCTCAAAAAATCTCACCAACCCTGGCCCTTGGCTCGCGAAGCCTCAAACGACCAACTTTGTCAGGCAACATAATTTGGCGACATAATCCGAAATCAAACAGAACAAGGATTTTCTTAAATTAAATTAAGTTGCGAAAATCAAAAATGTACACCTTATTCTTTATGCCAATCGCAAAATTGCACGGTTTTACATCACCTAAAATTTATTTCCATTTAACCTCATATTTCCGCATAAAAAATATCCTTGTTCGGATTTTTTCAAGCAAAACATACGATGAACAAAGCCGGTTTTATGTAAGTCTTCAAGTGCCTATAACAATGAGATTAGGAATCCCACGAGCCAAGTTAACTTCAACAAACCTGAACTCCTTGGAGTGAAAGACGAAGAGTCGTGCCATGTGATACCTTTCTTCCGGGACATTTGCGACGATTGTCCACAAGATCTTTACCCAACAGCGACATGATCATGTAACTAAAATTTTTCATGAAAGAGAAAGATTGGGTTGGTGAATTGAAAACTGCGGGCTATTGTCATATGTAACAGTTTGAGCACTTTCTTCACAAGAAACCCATTTTGGTGTCAATGGAAAAGTTGTAGAGAATCAAAAATGAAGCTTATATCCAAATTTTCAGAACAATTCAAAAGCTGGTTTTCAAGAAATACCAAATTTACGAATTTTCACAAAACTTGCATTTTAAGCGAAACTACTAAGTGTATCTTTTTGGAAATTTGGCTATAAGCCTAATTTTTGATTCTCTACAACTTTTCTATTGACATCAAAATGGGTTTCTTTTGAAGAAAGTGCTCAAACTGGGACATCTCCAGTCCTCGATTTTTGAGTCTCACACTTGTCTCACACACAAACCAAAATCCTACTACGAAAGAGGAATCCGCAAATTGCCTGTCAAATGGGCAGAAGTCGTCAATAATAATGGAAATTATTTCGAATGAATTTATGGTTTTATGTCGAATAAATTT